TGCTGATGGAGTGCAGGTCACTTGAAGTGCAGCTGGCACTGAGAAAACATGACTCATTTGAAATTATGCAATCCTGGCTGAAATTCACAGGACATTGTAATAACAGGAAATTTGAGATGGAAATATTAGAACAGCACTGGCAGGAAACACACTGACTCTGAGTTCCCTCCCACTGCCAAGGTACCAAGTTTAATACTGATAGGGTGCATCTACATGTGCGCTTTAATGCACAATAGCCTATTTTACTGTGCATTATAGCATCACATAAAAACCATGCAATTACACGAATGCATAGTAAAATAGGCTACTGTGCATTAGCGTCACTTAAAAAGTGTGCACATTTGTTACTGTGCATTAAGGCAGGCTAACACATATTTGTTTAGTACCTCACATTGAAGGTACTAAATTTAATGCATCTTAGGAAAAGTGCCTTAATGCACGTGTAGATGCATCCATACAGTCCCAAATGTGAGGTGGTAGTATTTTCAAATGAAAATCTATGTCAAGCTTGTGGTGATGTTTGTTAGTGTGGCAAAATATTTGAGGGATCTGCATTCCTGTTGCTAATCTTAGTTGCTAGGGTCAGAAAAACTCCATCTAAAATTAAGAGCCTTTGTTGCTTCTGCTACATTCTCACCACTGGAAGCAGTGTCAGTTTCAGAAATCTTTCTAAATCATCCACTGGAGGTTGACATACAACATGCACCAAGTGACATACAACACAAAGCGAGGTTTCTGTCTACTGTGGTTAAATCCAATGTTTGTTGGACACTGTTTAGCTGTGCAGAGAGCCAGATCTCTCTCCCTCTCTCTCTTTCAAAGACTGCCATCCACAATAGTGTTCCTAAGATACAGCCTTAGCAGTGTGATCAATGATATAAGAGTTGGGTGAACCATCCACAACCAACAATGCATGTAATGAGTTCATTTCCAATTCTGCTCGTGATTTATCCATCTGTGGAGTTAGATTTTTGTGACTTTCTCTAGCTCACTTGTTAACCAGCAAAATATAGGCCGCAAGCTGGATCCGGCCCACCAGGCCATTGTATCTGGCCCACAGGGCCCCTAAAAGTTTAGTAAATTAATATTTATGTGAACCGGCTCCCTGTCAAAGCTGGCTGGAGACAGGGGGCAGGAGGACCCAGAGGGAGCCCTCAGCAGGCTTGAAGGCTTGAGCAGCCCAGCCCCGCCCACCTGCAGCCAGTTCAGCGCTTTCCTGCCCCAACCCTGCTCCAGCACCAGGTGGTTGGGGCTCCCAGCTGCATCCCCAGACCACAGAGCATGGGACCACATGGGACTGTGCTCGTAGGGGTATGTATGTGTGTGCGCATGTGGGCAGGCACAGGGGCAGAGTGTGTACGCATGTGTCTGTTCATAGGGTGAGTCCCACACGCAAACCCCTCCATACACATACACCTACACCTCCCTTTGCACTGCCATACACAAACCTCAGCCACCCTCTCCGCCATACTCACCCACCGGCCACGTACCCACAGCCCCACAAACCTATACCCACCGCCCACAATATACAAAAATAAGACTTCATTTTAAGCTATGTGCAGTCACCTCTGTGTACACTACACAAACACATGTAAATTACGACAAAAATATTTTTTGAAATCAAATTAATGAATGTTGTAGATGATCACTTTTTAGAATTTAATTTGGTATTTTTCTGGTTCTGAGATAGCAAAACCCCTTGCTGAAAGGAGTACTTCTGGGGGCAAGGGGAGGAACTTCTGGTGGCAAAGGTCAGGGGTTAGGGGGTGGGACTTCTGGTCACAAGATGGCAACCAGGGGTCAGGGAACCTGTCAAAGGGCAGGGCTACCCATGCAGCCCTTGACAGCTTGCCAAAACTCGATAAGTGGCCCACCACCCAAAATTATTGCCTGCCCCTGGTCTAATAAAAGATATCACATCTACCCAAAGAACCTTGCCTGCCTTGTGTATGTATAGCGAACATAAGTAGATAATTACTGACAAACTTGTGTTAAAAATAAAAATAATACCAACAACAACAATATTACTATTTTGTGAATTCACCATTTTGTTCTTAGCTCTAATGAGATGATTGAGCTTGCTTCTTGGCAGAAAGCACATGAAAGTTTGATAGGAAAGATGACAGTTTCAGTCTTAGATCTCCTTCAACATTCAGTTTGTTTTTCTCAATACTAAGGCTGAAAATCCACTTTCACATAAATACATGGTGGTGAACAGCATCAAAGCTTTAATGGCCTTATCTGTCAGATCAGAGTACTCCTTTTTTAATTTCAACCAGGATCAGGCAAGAGATTCCAGCTTGAATTCAAGTTTCAGTCCCCTGTCACAGGATAACTTGAGTAATTGCTCTTCTTATTTAGCTGTTAGACAAGACCTAGAGTTGCAGTCTGCTACAAAGGGGTTATGTATCCACTCATTCTCATTTCCCATTTCAGGAAAGTACTGGAAAAACTGAGATTTGAGTGCCAGCAAGTGTTCCTTGATTTTGTTTCACATCACTGTCCAGCATCAACTTGTTTTTAGCCAAAAGGTCGTCAAGGGTTTCAAATGTATCAAAGTCATCTCCTCTTACTTGAGGAACCTGGAGTTTGAAGCTCCTTGATGAAAGCCATCACGCACAGTCCCCTGCATACACAGGCAACCATTCACCTAGGGATTCCCCCCAGATCGCCCTTATACATTTGTAACCCTAGTCATGGTGCTAACCATGGCCATGTCCAGATTCAGGGTTCTGGGGTGTAAAACAGGGTCAGCCTTCCAGCCCCTAAGGCTGGGGCCACCTCTCTGTGGAGTGTTTTCTTGTAGTTTCCCCACACACGAGTACATACAGTCTAAACATTTACAGTTTATTATTTACAAAACAGCCAACGTATGAATTAGGGATGTGTGAAATTTCACCTGGTGTTTCATTTCGAAGCTGTTTCGATGTGTTTTGAGCTCGAAACAGTGAAATCAAAATGAAACAAAAGCCTTCGAAACAGCTTCAAAATGAAACAAGGGCACTTGAAACGTTTCATATTTCGAAGCCAGACTTACTTGGCTTGAGCGCTGGTCCCAGGCAGCAGCAGCAGCCTCCTGTCATCCAGCAAGCAGGTCGGGGGTCTGCCTGCACCCCTGGGAGGGCTGCAGGGCTGTGCCGGACTCCTCCCGGGGGTGCAGGCCCCGGATCTGCCAGCCAGATGACAGGAGGTTGCTGCTGCCAGCTGGGACCAGTGCTGGGCTCAACTCACATCCGGCGCCAGGAAAACAGGTGCTGCCATTGGCCCCAGCTGGCAGCACCAGCCTCCTATCATCCGGCAGGCAGATTGGCAGCTCACCCGCACCCCCGGGAGGAGTCCAGCACAGCCCCTGTGGCCCTCCCGGGGGTGTGGGCAAGCTGCTGATCTGTCTGCCAGATGACAGGAGGTGGGTGCTGCCAGCTGGGGCCAGCGGCAGCATCGATCTTCCTGGCACCGGCTGCGCCTAGCATTGGTCCCAGCCAGCGGCGCCAGCCTTCTGTGATCTGGCAGGCCAGTTGGGGGACCCCTGCACCCTCAGGAGGAGTTGGCAGAGCCCCGCAGCCCTCCCAGAGGTCTCCTGATTGGCCTACCGGATCACAGGAGGCTGCTTCTGCCACCTGGCGCAGCTTGCATCCAGTGCCAGGAAGATTGGTGCTGCTGCCAACCTCAGCAGGCAGCACCAGCCTCCTGTCATCTGGCAGACAGATCGGGGGCCTGCCTGCACCCCCGGGAGGTGGCAGGGGTCCAGGCCCCTGATCTGCCTGCCTGATGACAGGAGGCTGGTTCTGCTGCCTGAGGCCAGCGGCAAATCAGGATGTGCAGGGACCCACCGCCACACTGAGGATCAGGGTGGTGGCCCGCACCCTCCTTGGGTCCGCTCTGGTGCGGGGCCTGGGGCAAATCAGTTTTTTGTGTGGGGACCCGCTTCCACCCCGGGATCAAGGCGGGGGCCAGTCCCTGCATGAACGGATTTGTCTCGGGCCCTGCACCAGAGCTGACCCGAGGAGGGTGCATGGCCCTGGGGTGGAGGCAGGTCCCTGCATGAGCTGATTTGCCCTGGGACCTGCTGCTGGCCCCAGGCAGCAGAACCAGCCTCCTGTCATCCGGGAGGCAGATTGGGAGCCTGCACCCCTGGGAGCAGTCCGGCACGGTCCCCATAGCCCTCCCAGGGGTGTGGGTGGGCCCCCAATCTGCTTGCCTGATGACGAGGCTGGTGCTGACGGGTAGGACCAGTGACAGCACTGATTTTGCTGGTGCTGGGTGCAGGCTGCGCCCAGCGCAGTCCCAGGCAGGAAGTGCAGCCTCCTGTGATCCATTAGTTGTGTGCAGATAAGTGGAGATCCTGTTTCCTTTTCAACTCAGTCCTCATTCAGGCAAACGTCCACTGATTTTTAGTTAGTGTGCTTTTTCAAGCATAAATGTGTCATTTGGTCATCTACCAAATGTATCACTACTTGTGTTACATCTGAGTTGCATCATTATTTCTGCTATGGACTCCTACAGCCCATTATACGTCACAAGATTGTCCCAGTAAACTTTCTACTGCATAGACCATTTGGATGCAATATTTTCCCTTCCTAAAAACATTTTTAAAAGCAAGACATTGGTCACGGAACTGTTTTGCTGGAAGAATTGAATAAAACACAGGTGACTGTCATTGCAGTGAATTTGTTATTCATACCTAAATGAATGCTTGTAATAACCTTTTCTCAGGCTTTCCCCAGTAATAACTGGTATTGATGAAAACCTTGGGAGGTAACAGAACCCCAAGTATTATGGTAATTACTCTTGAATGGGTTTATATTCAATTTGCCTTGTGTACTCGTTAAAGTTTCATCTCCCTACTGAAGTCTCTGGAAGTAAATTGTGAGTGGTGGAGGGAAATGATGGTTTACCACGCTTGGAATGATCACATTTTACAACACTTCACAGCAGTGCTCTTTTGGGACAGCTGTTATTTGTTGCTTTTGCTTGTACATAATAAAAACCTCTCTTCCTAGGTATTAAGGTAATTGGTGGCATAAAGGAGCTCACAGGAGAAGAATATGGAGTTTATGTAAAGAGGATCCTACCAGGGGGTGTCGCTTATGTTGATGGTGAGTTAAACAGGGAAAGAAAGCCAGTAAATATTCAAAGCTCTACGTAACTAGTGCGCTATCCTTATTGATCCTGGTTTGATGCTTCCTCATATACAGGCAGTCCTCAGACTTACAACATGATTGGTTTCCGAAAACCACGTCTTAAGTCAAAACGTAACTCGGAACCAATTTTCTCATAAGAAATAATGTTATGAATGGGGGATTGGTTCCTGAACCAAGGCCCAATATCCTATTTTCACCAAAAACACCCCAGAATTTTGTACTTGAAGGATTATAGATGAGTAATACAGCTACATTGATGTATTTATATTGTAAATAGCAATCATATTGATTTGTAAGGACTTCTTTGAGGTGATTTTGCTGGACTTTTTGAAGGGTTCTTGGCTGGAGTCTTCTCAGGAGTCTTGGCTACAGGTTTTTCTGGAGTCTTGGCTGCTTTCTTAAAGAACGTGTTCAAGGAAGTTTGGACAGATGTTCTCCAGGGAGACGGACGACGCAGTGAACTTGTTCGCTGGTGTGGCATCACATCGGATCAAGCGTTGTACAGTTGAAACTGATGTCAGAAAGTTGAAACAGGGTGTCTATTTATAAATGTTGTAAGTGCAAAACATTGTAACTCAAAACGTTGTAAGTCAAGGACTGCCTGTACTCGCTTCTAGATATTTGGACGGATATTTTACTGTGGTAATTCATGTTGATCAATTTCAAGCCTTCTCTCCTGTGTCTAAGATGTTTAAGTGATTGTTTCATGATTGCAGTACTGAGACTCATCCATGCCAGCCCACAGACTCACTTCATTGTTGGATCCTTATCCACTGATGATTCTTGGTGCCATTAGTTGTTTCCAGATAAGTGGAGATCCTGTTTCCTTTTCAACTCAGTCCTCATTCAGGCAAACTTCCACTGATTTTTAGTTAGCATGCTTTTTCAAGCATAAATGTGTCATTTGGTCATCTACCAAATGTATCTAACAAAACAACCTATTCGAATTGTGCGAGAGAGAGTCTTTCCAGGTATAGGTGCAGTTCCAGGTTAAGAAAAAAGAAAGAACCCCCCACCAGTACATTTTCTGATATGCATTTGCATTTCCTAGTTACTCAAAACACAGCACAGGAAGTACAAGTATTAAACATCCATGTCGTGTCTTTTGGTTTATTTGTTTAGGACGCCTGCAACCAGGGGACCAGATCCTGGAGGTCAATGGCGAGTCTCTGATTGGGGTTACCAGTGAGAGGTACTGTTGCTAAGCAGGGACTCTGCAGGCATTGCAAATGTATGAGAATCTGCATGGTGGGCTGGTATGTGGCTTGCCTGAAAGATCCTGCATGTTGTGTGCGTACACAAAGGGCTGCTGCTTTCAGTGCCATTCATCTAACAGTCTAGGCAAGGATCAGAGTCCCTATACAATAATTCAAAGATGAAGAGATGTGAAGGCCCCAGTCTGCATTAGAAATGACTTTCATCTTTATTCAAAGCACAAACTGAACCTGTCCACAAGCTTCTTCTGAGGTCGGCAAAAGTAGAGGTCACTAGAATCTTTCATTTCTTCAGCCTCTGTGCACCAACAGTGTGATGGGCACTGTACAAATACAGCAGCCAACCAAAAGTACTTTATACCTCCTTTCTGTCTCCTGGGTCTGGTCAGCTCCATAGGCCTCAATGTTCCTGAGCCATCATCATCACACGGAGTCCCCCAGAGCAGTGATTCTCCTGCTTCCAAACCACAGGTTCCTACTGACTATCCATAAGAGTCCTGTAGAAAGTACAGGGTGTTTGTCACACAGGTGAGCTCCCTGTGTCCAGCCACTAGAGAACAGAGACTGCAGTGGCTGCTTGACTTTGATTGTGTAGGCACTGTGCATGTCTGGGAAAGAGCATTTAAGAGACTGGAAGTCAGGGAGGATGTATTTGCTTCCTGCACCTCCTGTTACCTGTTCAGGGACCCCAGCTACTGCAGTGGTGAGGAGCAGCAGGCTGTGACTTACCTTCCCTCCAGCCCTGCTGCCAAAGAGGGAAGTCATGGCCACCTGAAAGATGTTCAGTCCCCTGGAGGGTCTTCTCCACCCCCCAAAAATGAAGCCGTCATTCATGTGGCTGCTGTTGAGGTTTCCATGGCCCACTGCTGAGTTTGGCACAGACTTTGATGTACTGATATGTAGTCTAGTATTATTCATTCTTTGTTGCACACGAGAGCTCATTCTTTGTCCTGCCTTCCTGCAGAGCTGTGGATATCCTCAGAACAGCCTCCGCCACCAGCCATATGCGCCTTCTCATAGCCCGGGATGATGATGCCAGGTAAGTGTGCATTGAATTCTTCCCACAGAAGAATACACTTGCACTAAACTATATATTCCTATGAATGAGTAGGGCTTGGCTAGAAAGGTTAAAGCAGAGTGCAAGCGTTCCCCTGGACTCATGCTGAAAGCTGCCCCCAGTCAAGCCAGCTATGCATGAGTACCTAGTCATGGAAGCTGGGGAATCCTGATCTGCCCCAGCCCAGGTAACATAAGCAGTGCAGTAGGTTCATGAAGGAAACTCCAGCAGCCATTAGGCTCTTCCACAGTGGCTCTTGTATCCTGCTTTTAGAGTAGTTAGAGGGATCTTGGCCCCTTCTCAGCGGGATTGGCCTGTGAATCTGTGTAGTAGCATCCTCATTCCTCTCCCAAGGCTCCACCCAGTCCCTTCCCACCTGCTCCTGTAAGCTTGTCTCACCTACCCAGGCCAAAGATTACGTAGTAGAAGCCCTTCCACCTGCTACTGAGCTTCTTACACTTTTTGCTCCATGGGGCAGTGACCCTATGCAGGTGTAGGCAGGTTCAGTGCTTGATCCTTGACATTCTAGTCTCTTTCCTCTGAGAAGAAGGAAGCCCAGAAGAATCAGGGGTTGTTTCCACAGTAACTATGTTTGTTTCTTGGCCAGTGACCCAGGAGGCAGGTTATTTGCCATAACCCATGTGTATTTGCTCCCAGCTGTCCAGGCATCTCGACACATTTCCAACACCATATATTATAGCAGATGTTTCCAAAAATATATGTGTGCATGGCTTTATTGGAGGCTATGGCTGTTTCATGCATCTGTCAACTGTGCCTCCAATAGATTGCTGTAAATGGATAGGATGCAAACACTGAGAGCAGCCAAACTTTAAACATTTTATTTGGTCTTTGTTTGCTATTGGTTGTCTGATAAATCTGCCAAAGGTTATCAAGAGGGAGAGTTCAGCACTAATCAGTTTAATTTTTTTTTAAAGATTTGCAGAGATTTTGCTTACATAATCATCTCACAAAATGTTTAATACATATCTCCAAGATTAAAGGGAATGGAAGAGAGGGAAGGGTTTTCGGCTTGCTGTTTTTTCTTTTTCTTTTTTGATCCCATATTATCTTTTAGCGCTGTCCTTGAGCTTGGGGGAGTAATTGACTGTCTATCCACATTGCTGTCACAATGCTTGCTGACACTGATGCAGCCGAGGCTAGTGGCATGTTTGGTTTTTGTCCTGTTTTGGATCAGCTGTGCTGTTCTAAGAACAGCTCAACCAATCATTGGAAAACATATAGAGCCTGATTTTATGCTGCAGCATAAAGGGGCTTTTATGTAAACAAGGATCAGGCCTGAGTTTTTTTATAGCACCCTGAACACCAGGGTCCCAATAAAATTGATGCTGAGATCAGAGGCACGTGACTCATAAGTGAATGTAGGCAAGAATGGCACATCTCTGAGAGTCTTCTGTTGAGTTGAATGAGTATTCATTAACACAAGCAAGGACAAGTAGAGTGTGGGGTGGGGCAGTTTGTACTGCTACTACAAGGCAGGCAAGTTTTGAGTATTCAAGACAATTATTTTCTCTGTTTCTGATTTCTCCAGTTATACCAGCAACAGAGGCAATAGCCATGGCTGTGCAAGATCCTTAACATTACAAGTGAAGGAGCACAGGCTTTGGGAGAGAAGGGAAATTGCATCATAATGTTTAGCAAAACAGTGTGGACAGAGAATAATCAGCATGGACACATTAATTTACTCCTGCGTAAGCTTGTGGGGTCAGAGTCTGAGCTCAGAGGCATTAAAGCCAATGAAATTACACTAGGGAGGACTGCAGCTTAGTCTGTCTCTTTGCAAGCTTAGTACTGCAGCTGTGCACATATGGGAGGTTTTTTGCACAAGCCTGTCACCGGAGGTCTGATAACTTAAGACTGTATTCTTACAGCCCATCAGTAGACCAGAGAGATGCTGCAGGTGGGCCATGAGGGCAGGTACATGAAAGGATCACAGGAGGGTTGTACTCCTCCCTCTGAATGCTCCGGTGGCACCAGGAAGTATTGTATTGAGACGTTACACTGCCCCACACATCCGCCTCCTGAGCAGGAAGCAGTATAGCTGCCTTAGTGCCAGTCAGCAGAGCTGTAGCCCACCCGCTACACTGCATTAAGGTATGCAGCAGTGACTGCACTTCTTTCAGTTCAGTGTGTTCAGAACTCTGCACAGCGCTGCCTTGTGCCATCCTAATGCTTCTCTAAGGTGGTGACCCCACACAGCTTCCATTGCCAGTTCAAGTGAACTCAAGAGGATCAAAAAAGTTGAGAACCTCAGGCACAAAATACCTGTTATGGTAAACAGTATGGTTCTGATTTTTGAAGGCACAATAAATCAGGCCTCCAGTGTTTCAGATATAAATGATAGAATTGATTGAGCCTTATTGAGTGCCACCAGAGAAATAGGGCCCATGGCTACTGCCAGTTTTTCCTGCTGTTAGTTGTGACTGCAGAATTGCCTAGGCAGTAGAAGAGGCAGGTATGAAATGCAGGCCTGGCCTTGTAAAATGCTCCCTTTCAGGTCTTCAAGTCTGAGAGAGTGCACAGAAGTATTTTAGTATTGAAGCCAGAGCATTCGGGTTGAGCTTTGAACTGTGCCAATGCTTAACGAAAGGGGTTGGTAACCTATGGCTCATGGTCCAGATCATATCTGCAGAACCTTTGTATCCGGCTCAAAGAGCCATGGCTTCAGTAGCATATGGGGCAGGAACTGTGCTCATGCCGTGCCATAGTTGGATGCCTGGGGCTTTGGCAGAGGGAAAGCTTTCCCTGTGCTGTGCTGGGTGGCAGGGAGAAGTGGTGGAGGCAGAGAAGTCCTCTTGCTCACCTGTCTCAGGCCCAAGTTTGAGCATTCTGGCTCCCTGCTGGAAAACACTGATGACCCCTGCTTAAGGATGTTTGAATCCATGGCTTTGATTTGTGCTCCTTTCTGCCTGATTGGTATAATTTCTTTGTGGCTCTCTAACTGTTGCTTACTCAACCCAAGCCTGATATATACAGTAGATCCTTTTTTCTGTAAGGGATACAATGGGCATTCCAATTTGACAGGTGTATCTTTATGAAGTTGAGCCAGTTAGGTGGGTTGTCTACACCATACCATCTGGAATGTGGATTGTGTCAACTGCATCTTACTGTGTATAAATAAGGCATGTAAATGTGTTTCCTGAGTCTCTTTTATTTCAGTTACTGTGCATTTATTTAGTACTTGCTAATATACTACTTGCTAATATGCTACTGCGCAGTAGTGCCTTGTGTAGATACACCCCGTGTTTTCAAGATTTTTTTGCTGAGATTCTTATGTGATTACTTGGCTTCTAGGGTTTCGAGAAGACAGTGAGAACTCATGATAAGCCTGTCACTTGGCAATGTTGGTTGTCTTAAAATCAGTGCACATTGTGATTGCTGTTCTAAGCAGGTGTTGGGCTTCCAGGGTCTTGTACAGGTTGTATTTATCAAGATAAGTTATTAACACTAGGGCTTAAACTCCTCTCTCCCATCTAGAGAGCAGAGGCTGAGGTTTCCAGAGATATTCCTGCATAACCTTAGATGGAAGATTGACCTTTTGTGCTTCCCCAGAATACAAGGGCATCACAGAAAATGCATCATAGGATAAAATAAGAGTATTCCGCTGACTGATTGGTCCCCTGCTGCTTAATTTGTAATAAAATCAGCCTGTAGCTGGCTGCTGCTCTCAGCCACTTTTATCTGAGTGCTCCTCATGGATCTGTCTGAGGCTGTACACACCTCAGAGCTCTGTACAAAGACCCTTCTGTTACCCTAAATCTCAGTATCCTTAGTGGACATTGAAGGACAGTATCCTAAGTGGATACAGTATACTTAGTGGACTCTCCCTATCTCAGCCTTTCTACCAGTCAAATAAGGCAGGCATTTCAGTTGCACAGGAACCTGATAGGATCAAGTATTTCAGTAATAGAGCTGGTCAAATACCAGATTAAACTAAAATAAATGGAACCAAATGGGGGGCTCAGGTCAGGGTCCTGTTTCATTTCCTATTCCCTAGCTTCATAGCTGCTGTTTTTGGAATTTATGCAGCTTGTGATGCTACTCCACCAGCGACGTGGGCCTGCAACTGTCCGTGTGGTCACTGAGAGCGCTTGTTCATGTGATGGGGATTTAGTTTTTAATTGAAACCCACCATTTCAATGTAGGAGTTTCTTTCACTGTTATGGCAAGGGGCCTGATCCTTATTTTTTTTTCCTGGAGGAGCCTGCCTATGGCTGGCAGGGGGGGAAGCTGCCAGCAGGCTGAGCGACCCTTGAACTGCAAGGGGCCCTGGTCCTTCCCTCCATGGCAGTGGCACCCCTGGGGCTGCCCTGGCAGGCTGCTAGCTGATCGGATGCTACTCCAGCTTGGGATTGGGGAAGAGTTGGATCAGGCCAGGTGCTGCCTCTGAGCTGGAGCAGCACCTGGCTTGCTAGCAACTTGCCTGGGTGGCTCCCAGGGGTGCTGCCACTGTGGAGGGAAGGATCGGGCCACCCCTGACCACTCAAGAAGTGAGAAGGCTCTGTTGGGGGGTGGGGGGAAGGATTGGACCCCTTGCCACTTCTGCCTATAGCAGGCACCTGCTGAAGGCAGAAGTGGTGAGGGGCCTGATCCTTTTTTTTTGCAGAGCCTGCTCACCTCTCCTGTGGCCGGGGGTGGGGAGGTGGGGTGAGCTGATTAATAGTTGCAATGTATCATTGCAAACTAAACTACATCAGGACTTAGTTTAGTTTGCAACAATGCAAACTCATTTAAACCCCCCAAAACTCCTTCACATGTACAGTGTGACAACATTAAGCCACACAAAGTGACATTTTTGTCATGTGTACATGGTAATGGTGTCACATGTGCAAGTGCCCTGAGCATGTGCAGGATCCTGTATTTTGCCAGGCAAGTACCTGGCTCTGTACACACAGCTAGCCATGTGCAGGTCCCCCAGATGTAGGTGGGCACTGGCTAGGAGCCATCCTAGATCATTGCTTCCTCATGAGCTCTCAGATCAGTACTGTGACAAAATGGGCTGATGATACCTGTGGATCTATAAAAAGGGGAATATCTCTTTTAGTAGAACCTCTCTGAATGCACCCTGTCTTGCCTTCTGTAGGTACAGAAGAGAGAGTAGAGCAATACTCTGGTGTCAAAACCAGACCTTTCAGAGTGGGGTTTAAAGAGCTCGGCCGATTCGGCTTATCAAAGAGAAGGCTGAAGTGTATAAGTATAAGTGTATAAGTATTTGTACAAGAAAAAGGAATCTAACCATGAGGAACTCTGCAGTCTTGCTGATAAAGGCATGTCTAGATCCATTGACTGTAAATGGAGTTAGAAGTTTCCTGACAGTGAGGATGGTTAAATATTGGAACACCTTTTCAGGAGAATTGGTGGACTCAATTGTTGGGAGTCTTAAAAACAGCTGATATATCATTTTAAGAAAGAAATGCTTTAACCCAGCCATGGGGACACAGGCTAGCTGACTCTGGTGGTTGTTTCTGACTTTGGGATCTGTTTATCCTCCCTGTTAATTCCCTTCTTTCATGCAGGGCAGCCTGTCTGGCCTCAGCATGCTTATTACACTAGCTGTTTATTAAGGCAATGACTGTAACATAATCTCCAGCTTCCAGGCTTCATTCTGCAGGGTCAGTAAGGAATTTTATCCTGAGACATAGTTGGCTAAACATATCATGTGTTTGTCTATCTGTCTTGCTTTCTTGGAAGCATCAAAGAGTGGCCAGAGCCAAAACTGGGACACAGGGCAATATACACCTGTGCTCAGATTTGGTACAGAGAATCCCATTTCTTTGATCATGGCTGGTATATCTTGATCATAGGCTCAGGGTAAAGTGATTGCCAGATTTGTGATTGGGAGGGAATATTTTTCTGGAACAGACTAGCAGGGCCCTTGGTGATTTTTCACCTTTACCTGCAGCATGCATGTTAAGCTGATTAGAGTGACAATTACTTGCATTTCTTTGGTTATAAAAAGGCCCACAGAGATCTTACACATTCCTCTGATAGCTCATGTGTGTCACATCAGCAAATGAAGAAGGCTTCAAAATGCAAGAGGTGTTCTGCTCTAGTGGGTAAAGCATGGGACTGGGAGTGGGGGCTTTTCTCTTGTGCACTTGCAATGGACAAACTGCATAGCTGCTTTGTCCTTCAGTTTACTCACTTGTATTCTATGAATGATAACACCAGAGAGATACTGGGAAGTTTAATTATCATTGTAAAGTCCTTGGAGTTTGCTGATGAAAAGCAGGGCAGAGGGGCTGTCACTCAGATGCAAATGCCCAGAAGAGAATTTCCCTGGCACAGGGGAATTTCTTGCTGACGTATCCAGCTCCTGTGCCTATTTCCCATCCCAGAATAAGGGGCATGTTTGGGCATGGAGGTTTCAGTTTGTCACTGGAATTTTCCAAGGTGGTTGCTATGAGGTTGGGATCCTCCACTTAGGTTGATTATGGACCCTCACTCCAGCATAAGCTGCACATTGTTTGGAAACAGCTCAAAAATCACATCAGGTCTGCCCCTGAGAATCAAGGAGCTGTATCTAGTTCCCTGATACCACCCCCTGCACTGACCAGGTCTCTGCTCTCAGAAGAAAATCAAGCCTATAAATGGGTTGGTGTGTAAAACTTTTTCTAGGCATATTTTTGTGTTATAAATCAATAGGGAATTGTATCAAGGAGCTGAATGAGTCTTCTGTGTCTTGCTTTTCAGGAGAGAATTCTCTGAGCTGCTGGAAAAGTTTGGACCTCAGAGCAACACAGGATCATCCCGGAGTTCTCCAATTCTCCATGGTGGCAGTGAGTACTGAAATCTTTGTGAAGTCAATGCTGTAATGTAGACGACACCTCCACCATTGGGAGGTCTTGTATCCTTATCTTAGTGCTAAGCTGTTGTTTCATTTTAATATTGTGCTGTTGTTTCTGAATAGGGCTTGGAGGAAGGTTTGCAGGAAAATAAATCCTGACTATATTTGAGAGAATTCTTATTTGCTGGGTCCCAATAAATGCTCTGATTGTTATATGGCAGTAATGCAGAACTTAAATGCATCTTGGCTGCAGAGCAGCAGAGTAGAATAAACATGGACCTAATAGTCTGTGCAAATAAGGAAAAACAGAGATGGGGAGAGAGAGAGAACTGTGTTAGGGTGGAAGCAGGGAGGCTTTGGTATCTAACTGTTCTCCAGCTTCCAGAACTTCACTTGAACTGTACATCAGTTCACAAAGATACTGCACTAATAAGTTCTAATAATACCTAGGTTTTCAAAAGCAGTTTTCCTCTATGAATAGCAAAGCATTTAAGGCAGGGCATATTATTATCCCCCTAGTTTCCAGGTGGAGAAATTGCCTGTGGCAACAAAGCAAGTCACTAGTAGACCGAGAAATGGTGCTCAGGTCACCTAAGCTGGGAGTGGCGAACTCTGCCATGGACCCCTCCATGGGTTTTCATTAAAGAAAACCCTGTGATAGTGGAACACAGCAGTGTCTGTGCAAATTACTGTAATCACAGATTTACATTTGTGTTGGGCAAATTAAACTGTATCTATCTTATTCACTTGAGTGGTAGGGATTTCAATTCTGAATAAGGGACCATGAAAGCTGTTTGAATTCCAGACTAGGAAGCAGGAAAGAAGGGTAGAAAGATGGGGGTGTAAAATGGTTTGGTTTTCTTCACTAACTTCAAATTTACCCTTCAGGTAGGTATTTGGAAAGTACATCCTCAGGGTCTTCATCACGATCCCAGAGTCCTCTACTTCTGAGCCCTGCAAATTCCCATGGGCCGTTCATCGGAAACTCGACACATTCCCCACACTCCAGCTCACAGTATGTACAGTGTCACAGAGTACAGTCACTTCTGCTGAATCAACACTCATTTCTAGAGCATCATTAGTGAATAGTCTGTATTGCATAGATTTCAGGAGGCTTCAGTCACAGATCAGAGTGGTTCCCATTCCACTGTGGCATAGGATTTTAAAAAGGGACTAATGATTTTGGATGTTGCAGTATTTGGGTGCCCACGTTGAGACAGCTGAAGAGGGACTGATTATCAGAAAGTTTTGGATAACACCTTTAAAAATCTGGTTTCTTTTTAGTGGTCTTTTGGGCTGAGTGTCACAAAATAGCTCATTAAAACTATTGTCCAATCTCTTTGGACATGTTTACTGGATCTCCTTTTGAGTTGGAGTTAATGTTTCTCAATCCTCCATGTTTTCTAGGCCCCCTCTACATGTGCAGGTAAAGGCGTGATGGGATCTAATGGGTGATCCACACAATCATGCCTACTGCCATGCCACATATGCATGGCAGGAGGCATGTTTATGGGATTGCACATTAGATGCCATTGCATCAGAAACAAGCAAGCTCCCTTGGATGGGAGCCCCTTCAGTTGAGGGGCTCCCATCCATGGGGCCACCCCATGCACTCCCAGGGCTGGGGGATTACAACAGCTGGGATCTCCCAGGCTTGGAAGTGTGTGAAAACCCTGGGCCCTGGGGAACTGAGGCAGCCACCATCCTTAGGACTTGGGGGTGCATGAAACCATTTCACACCCCTTCCCAAGCTCTAGGGGTCGCAGCTGCTTGGATCTCCAGGGCTCCGGAGTTTCACCCTCTCCCCCCGCATAAAGCCTTAGGGATAGCAGCTGCCACAGTCCCTGGGTCCCAGGGGTTTCACACATACACCTGGGCCCTAGGGATCATGGGTGCCTCGCTCTCCAGGGCTCAGGGGTTTCATGCTGGGCAAGGTGCACTTCTGCAGCTGGGAGCCCTGTCAACTGACAAGGCTCCCAACCACAAGGGGATACCCTGCTACACATGCAAATTAAAGCTGCATAGCAACCATCTATAAATTTAAGACACATTTTTGAGGTCTAACTTTATAGTTGGTTGGAGCTTTTTATCATGTCATGAGTACTTGCTTTGCATGTGTAGCTGGTGTTAAGATAATTGTGGAATTAACCAGATAAGTGTACAATAAGTGTTATGTGTAGAGGGGGCCTTATACTCATGCCTTATCATAATTATTTATTATTAGGTTTTTTTTGTTATGTGGTTGTGCCTAAGAGCTCCTGTCATGGACCCTTGGCTCCATTATGCTAGACACTGAACAGATGCTAGTCTGTGTCCCGAAGTGCTGACAGTGTGCGAGACCTCAGAGATGTATGGAATGTAATTGCTCCATTTCCAGTCCTTTGCAACTGAGTAAAAACCCATGGTTCACAGATATTTTTGAAGGCAAAATGAAGTATCTTTTAAGATTATTAGGGCTGTGTGAAGCTTTAGGTGCTGATGCTGATTTAGAGGAGATTTGGCCCAATTTGGTGGCTGAATCTCCAAATCTGAATCGAATCAGGACCAATAAAAAGGTCCAGATCAATTCAATCCTCTCCAAATCTTTGGAAAAGATTCAGAGAGCTTCGATGATTCAGGCAGTCCCCACCCACCGCAGTGGGGAGCTGGAGCTGGACTTGGAGCTGTTAAGTAGGGGCCGAGGGAGGCGGGGCTGGAGGAGGGGGAGGAGACCATGGGGGGACCCCTGACAGGCCCCATCCCCTGCCTGCTCTCCCAGCCCCCTTGTGGCTGCCCCGCCCACCTCAGCTCCTGGTGCTTTAAAAAAAAGCCCCTGCTCACCAGATGCTGCCTGGCGGGGGGGGGCAATCCCCACTGCCCCACGCTGCATGGGGGGCTCTACACAAGCCCCCTGCTGTCCCAGCCCGTCCATGGCTGCCTCGCCCGCCCCAGCTCCAGCCCTTTAAGAAAAAAAAATGACTCACTGACCGGTGAGCCTGGGGTTGTTTTTTTTGGGACCGGGGGGTTCCTTAAAGGGCTGGAGCTGGGGCAGGCAGGGCAGCCATGGTGGGGTGGGGGTGCTGGGACAGTGGCAGGGGGGCCAGGGGGTTTGTGGCAGAGCTCCCACGCAGCATGGGGCAGTGGGGGGCAGTGGTGATCTCCCTTCCTGGCAGCATCTGGTGAGCGGGGGCTTTTTTTTCAAAGAGCCAAGAGCTGGAGCGGGTGGGGCAGCCATTGCCGGGGCTGGGAGAGTGGGTTGGGGATGGGCCTGGGTGATTCGGAGATTCGTCAGGAGCCGAATCTCCGAATCAGAATTAGCCAAATCCATTTGGGACAGTGATTCATGTCACTGTCCCCCAAATCAGCAGAATCTGAATCTGAAACAAATACTAGCCTAAACATTATGGCTGAGAATCTCTTTTTCAAGGGTCAGTACCATGGTCCTTCTTCCATACTGTCCTGTCCCTTGTGCAGTTATTCACATCTGTGAGAGCTGAATACAGACACAACCCTCAACACCTCATCCTGCTTCCCAGTAGGAGGAATAACTGCCCAAGGACCAGAGACTATGTGGGAATGTGGCACTTATGGCGTCCTAGGTACATTTTGTATTTTATAAAACAGGGAGCTTAAAAATAACAATCAGAATTTTCTATCTGCAGAGAAAGGTGTCCAGGCTGATAGTGATGAACCTTCCAGAACTTAGGTAGTGCATTATCATCCTTTTTTTAGGGTCTCAGCCCTACTGTCTGCCTGCTGCTGCTTGTGCTTGCACAAATGTAAACTAGCAGTAATTCCTATGAAGTTACTGGAGAGGTCCCTTGCTGGAGAGGTCCATAGTTCAGACACAATACATTCTCTTGGCAGGTGAACTCCACAACATGCAAAGTATCACCTCTTTATTAGGGATTTGCAGAGGAGAAATATTTGGCACCAAAGCTTTTAAGCTGCTTGCTTGGAGACACTCTTTGAGAGGAGAGAACAGCTCATGTACTTGACAGCCTTTCTGGATAAACTGGACACCTTCCACAATTAACACTTTTCACTCCACAGCAAAGACAGTGGCCTGGATTTATACCCTTGTTTGTAGATGATGGATGTTGGGTGCTATGGCATTCAGCTGCGGTTGCAAAGTTTGGCTAGTCCACATCTTAGAAATAAAGCAAAGGGTCACCTGGCATTAAACCACTACTTCCTGGAAGAAGGGACAGTAGGACTTGGACCATGTGAGATCTCAGATCATTGAAATGATGCATGTGTGTACTAATGTACTATAACCCAGTGTAACAGGGTCCTGCCCCAGGAGTGGCCCTGTGATGCCCCTGGAGCCCCCTCATCCCTTGTTGCTTTTACTTTCTTCGGGCAATCTCCCCTTCCACTTTTCTGCCACACCTTGATGTAGTTATGCCTTTAGAAAAAGGGAGGCTGCCCCAGGGCGCCGCAAGCGAGAGTATACATGTGAACACAGGTGTCATTGCTCATTGCCTTAAGGGCTAATTATGTGGCTTCCTCAGGTGCACACAGAAGTGACCATAGAAAGCAGTCTATAGCCATGACCAAATACAAATGCATGGCTGCAGATATCTTAAAAAATGGTCACTTGGGTAAAAATCTGACCCCTCATTGCATGAGGTATCCAGATAAAGAGGTGCAGACAGAAGTGTCAATTTTTGCCAGATCTGGCCGCAGAAAGCAGTTTATAACTGTGACCAAACATAAGTGCATGGATGTAAATAGCTTCAAAAATGGCCAGCTAGGTGAAAATCTGACCCTTCATTAGGTAGGTATTACATAAAGGTGTTACAAAATGTAGCCTCTTTGGTAACTTGTGTCTGCAGAGCTCTCAGGCTGTTGCTGTTTTCAGAATGGGAGGGGAAAAGGGAGCAAAGGGAGTTCAGTCTGGATGTTTTTTATTCCCCCCGGAGGGTGGGGCAGGTGTATTGCAGCCCCTCTTAGGTCGGGTGGGAGGGGGGAGCTACAATTCACCCACCCCACCCTTCAGCACCAGCTGGGGAGCCCCAAGAATGAGCTCCCTACACTGCCTTTCCCCTTTCCCATTCTGAAAACAGCAGCACTGGCAGAAGGCCTGGCCATTGGTATGGGAACCTGGCTGCAGGTTCCCAGCTGGCAGCCAGGTTCCCCTCACCTTAGGAACCAACACTGAACTTCTTTTTGGTCTGGGGTAACGCTGTAACTCAAAACACATTGCAGAATTACAGCTGGAAGTTGCACTTCTGTCTGTACCTGCTCTCATCTCCTCTTTTAGCCATGCCCAAGGCTTGCACATGTTACTAATCATTGGGTATTAAACTCCATCATCCAATCCAGTCAATCCTTTATCCGTGGGTCTTCAGCCCCAGTGTCAACTCCAATCAGTGCAGGCCCCTGAACGTAGAATGGTTTCTACTATTGCTGGGGCCTCCAGCCCTGGTTCCTTTAACCATGCCAGCCCCTTCTGGGCTCAGGCCTCTGTACCTCAAACAGTTTCACTCCTCTTGGGCTTAGGTCTGCATCCTCTGCTGGTCCTGGGCTCAGACCTCGTTATCTCTAGCTGACTCCACCCTTCCCAGGCTACAGGTCTTTGGGCCTGTTTGTTCTCACCCTGCACAGGCTACAGGCCCTTGACCCTGCCTGCTCTCATCTCTCTGCAGCTGTGGCCCTGCTCCTCAGCCTTGGCCCCTATCCCACAGGACCTGACTCCGCTCCTGGGCCAGTTAAGACTTCCACCACTCCTGCAATCTCAATTCCTAAACCAGCAGTGTTTCCCCAGCCCTAAAACTATCTTACCCCCCCACACAGTTGGAGTGCTTTATCAGAGGTTCCCCTTCTCAGCTCAAGAACTCTTTTTCCCAGGGCTACCTGCCCAGCTTAAGTCCTGGGCTTATATCTTGCAAGCCCAGCCACTTCTGGGTCATGTGGCTCCTTTGACTGCCCTCTGCCTCACCTGCAGCCTGCCTTCCCTTAAAGTAGCAGGAGCACCAAGCTCCTTACTACATGAGGACAGTGTAACTTGTTCTGTTTTGTTGGAGTCTATATAGATTCTTATACTGCCCACCTCATTATACTGTCTGAGCTCCTTCCAATAGCACATTGAGCAATGTGGTTAACATCCATCTTGTGTGATTTGTTTTTGTCCCAGTTGTAGCATCCAATGGGCTTTTTTGATTACAGTATTCCATGGTACCTCATTTCCTGAAAAAATATTTTCTAATACCCCCAGGCTTGTAGAATAATGTAGAACTACAAATCATTCTCTTGGAGTATGCTTTTCTAAATTTACCTTCTGACCAGTATAAGTGAAGAGGCTATTTGAGTATGCAGCTGCTTTTTAGATCTTCTTAGTAGTGTTCTGCAGAGGTTGTATGCCCATGTAATTTAAAAACTATGGAACTGTTCAGGAAAAGATGCTATGTCTTATAGCAATTACATAGGTCTGCAGACTGTATGGTTATCATGTTGTATTTCAAGTTGTCAGGGAATTAAAAGATTATTTAAAGCATCAGATTGCTTAGAATGATGATTCAAGAGATGGATGTTGTTAGAATGTTTTATCTTTGAGTGAGGGGAATGTGTTGCTAAGTTGTGGGTTTTACTCATTTTCTGGGAGAAGGCCAAGGAATTGCACTCAGGAGTCCAAGCCAAATAGAACTTTTAGTTCAGCCCTGATGCTGAGTTGCTAAATGCTATACGGTGTCAGAGATAGTCAAAAGTTGCGTGCAATAAAATAAAAATCGACCAGTCTTAAGTTATCTGCTAACATTTTTGTTTCTTGTAGCTTCTCCAGTGAATCAGCAATTCAGACCATTTCCATAGCAAAATCCTCTGGCTTGGGGTTGACAATCAGTGGTGGATCTAATAAGCCAGATGGTCCCATGGTGTATGTTCAAGAGCTTATGCCGGAGGGTGACTGTTACAGGGTAAGTTAGCAATGCAGAGTTTCATTGATCTGTAAAATATGAATCTCTCCTGAACACTCCAACTATTGTGAAGAAGCCTGCTTTGGGGATGAGGTAATAAGCTTTTGAAGTGCATCTTTTTTGATATATTAATCTTTGTGGATAAAACTTGATACTATGTTGCTGTTTTCCCTCCTTGTTTAGGATGGGCGGCTCCGTCCAGGTGATCAGCTAGTAGCTATCAATAAAGACTCTTTGGTGGGCAGCACATATGAAGAGGCCAGAAAAATAATTGCAAAAGCCAAATTCAGGTAGGCAAGTGCCAACAGGCCCAAGTGAATAAATCTCTTGTGTCCAAAAAGCATGTCCTATTACAGTCAATAAGGGTCATGCCCTGTGGTGCTTCTGAGGGTGAGGGAGGAGATGTCCACATCATTCTACTCTTTTTTTTTGCAAGAAACATCTTGTTAGTTCTCAGTGCCTTCACATCAGGAGGTCTTGAGTGCATGGGACTGTGACAGAACCCTGGGAATGTAGGGTACTCCCAGAAATATACACTGGATTTGTGTAAGTGTATTGTTCCCCCCACTCTGCTGAACAGATATGCCCCGGTTATTAATTTGCTCAAAAATCCTGATTTACCACAGAAACTTTGGTAAAGCAACAGAAAAACAAAAGGGTTTATTACAAGGAAGAACAAATTATATAAAAAAGAAAAAGTGTTCAAATGCTTTGACAGCAAAGTATGGTAAAACAAAACTGACAGAACCGTTGTCCTACATTCACACTACCACCTAGCCCTCAAAAATTCCTCTGAAAATCTCTTGGGGTCCTCCTCTCCTCAGCCACAGCTAGCTCTCTCAGCCAGAGACCTCCATGTCCTCTCTCCTCGCAGGGAGCCATCTCTCTTGCCCATGTGGCGGGCCAGCAGGGGGTACTGCTGCATTGAGCCATCCGCCTCACTGTGCTCAACCCAATTCTAGGCTCCAAGTGCCTCCCTGGGGGTGCCTCACGTCTGGCTGCCCCCCTTCCTGAAGCACACCCACAAGCCTGGGGGTAATGCCGCCACCACCCAGGGTCTGGACTGATCTTGGTCCTGTGCCCCCTGGGAAACACAGGGCTAGTAGTCCTTGAGGGTACTTGACCTACTGCAAGAACTTGGGGTGCTTCCCTCAGTCTAAAGCACAAATAGTGGTCTTCCTTAGTTAGTCAAACCAAGGGGACCCCAAGGCCTAATCTAGACCCTCTCCCAATAAGTCTCCCATGCTAGGCATGGAGGAGAACTTTATTGGTTGCAAGGAGTAGATTTGGAATAGGGTACAAGGTAGAGCAATATCAGATAAATCCCTTAGAGCAAACAGTGTCAAGGTAGCCTTTGATTACGCATCTGAGTTACTGCAAGCTATACATCTTTTTACATTTCAAGTAGCTTACTCACAAGTATCATCCAGAGGCAGGTAGAGATTCCCTCTGGAGGCAAGCAGTTCATTAAACATGAGTTTCAAGAGAGAGCAAGTTTCAGATGGTTCAGATTTTCTGAGTCCTCATTATGGCTGCTGCTCCTCTTTCTGGGCAGTCTTTACCTTATATAGAATTTATGACCTCATTTACCTAATCCAATGAAGGCCAGCAGTTGTTGGCTGCCAGCCAGTCAATTTGAAATGCATCTCTGGTTGCTGGGTAGACTGGCAGGGTCTCTAGCCCCCTCCCAGTCACGATGATATTGCTTAGAACAATAGGGAGTTTAAGCCCCCCTCCCTCCCCCCAGGTGTGTGAGGCCAGTTACCTAGGCAGAGGGAGCAGGTTTCCCCCTCCCTCAGGAATGTATCCAGCTCAGGTTACAACTCAGGTTTACCTGAAGCTGATGGGGCCGGAGGTGTCTGCCCTCTGCAGTGACCATGGTAACCAAATTGCCAGATTGGTCATCAGCCTAATAGCAGAATTTGGGGAGAGATAGAGATGGCATTCTGCCACAGCCCCCACCCCCTAATGGTCACTGCCTCCATTACATGGTGCAAAGCCTCCCCCCAGCACTTACCTTTAGGTGAGGCAGAGAATCCTCCACAAAAATGTTTCTGCCTGTGGATCCAAGACAGTAACATCTTGCATCACATTCAGGCATTTCCGGAGAACTCTCCAATCTGTTAGTCCTCATGTTGCAGTGAATGTCTCTCATCCTACAGACATTCTCAAGGCTCAGCCATTGAACTTGAGATCCAATATGAGTTTGCTGGGTGAAAACTTTTCTATATTATTGTGCATTATGCAGGTTTAGCAAACTTAGCACGGAGTTATAGCCATTAGGAAATTTCTGAAAACTTAAGTATGCATATTTTTAAGCACTAACACAATGTTTTATTTTTAAGACATGAGGGAAACACAGAAGTGGCCTTTATTCCTGGAAGGGGATGGTTACATCCTGGACTCTCGACTCCCAACAGCATCCACTCATCACCTCCAAAAGCAATGGGGAATGGTCTGGGCTCCTGCAGACTGAAGGTCCGCGTGAGGTCCCCTGAGGTAGGCCGTAGTTCAATGAGACCACAGATGCCAAACCCATGATCTCTGTCTCCATTGAGATTACTTTTATAGATTTTGTGGTAATCTTTCCAGATTAGCTGTTTATAAAGTCTGCAACATGGACTTGTTTGCTCTTGTTTGGACTCTGGTACTTTATATCTAGAATGTTGTTTCTTTTGGCTCTGGTTCAGGATACCAACGGATTTATCCCTGACCATCTAAGTCTGTGCTGAAGACAGTTGAGATGGGCTTTCAGCCTTGGAGTCCAGAGTTCAGATTTGTTTTCAGAAGTCAAAAGTGAAAAACAAATTTACTTTTGACTAGGGTAATTCTAGGGACACCCTCAAATTCAGTACCAGACCTAGTCCCCAGAAATGAGAGAGAGATATTTTAAAGGTGACTAGGGGATTTAGCTGCACAATCATTGGGAATCATGTGGCTCAGTCCCTTAGACAGATTTGCAAATCTGCTAAAGCCGTACATTTCCCTTTCTTTCCTGGATTAATGCAGTGCTCTGTATGACCCTTTTGCAAATGACATAAGGCTTCTTATTATTGAAGTGATATTCTAGCTGTGATGGACCAGGAAATAAACAATCATTTCCTAAACCATGCGCTTGGTCCAATAAAACATATCACCCACAAAAATTCTTGCCTCTTGTACAAGACTTCTTGGAGGTTCCTTCCATAACAAAGAAGCCTTGGGCCTTCTATGCAGCCTCCTGATGAGTCTGAGTTTTGTGTGTGAAAATTTAAGTCATCTGTGTGTATGTTGTCTGCTGGTAGATGCAAAAGGTATGGCTGGACATGGCTAGATATTCTGTCATCCAACAGCATGCATCATAATCCGGGGCGGGTTGCCAGCGAGGATTGGTCTCCATCAGTGGTCTCATCCAATTGCAATGCAAAATACCTACTGCTGTTCACACGTTTCACAAGAATGTCTTTAACATTAGCTGCCATGTCCTGAATTCTGTGCGACACAGTGTCATTTGAAAGAGGCACTCAATTTAACTGCTTTGCCATCTTCTCTCCACACAATATAAACACAAGTTCTTTAGCTGCAGGCAGAATGAGTTCTTCCCTAATAGTGTGAGGCTTCCCCGCTTTGGAGATTTGAAGGCTTGCAGGATATGAAGCTTCCAGGGCTTTTACATTTACTGTTGCATGACCAAACATTGTTACTTTCTTTTGTTTCAACTCATTGAGTTTGCGCTGAAAAAATTCAGGAGGTTTATCTTTGAAAGCAGCATGTATTGTCTCCATACGATGCCAGAGATGTACAGGCTTCAAGCTTTCGTTAGCCAGCACTGCGCAGCATAACACACATTGTGGCCTTGGTTCGTCTTGTTCACCAATCCACGTGAAGCCTAAATTAGTATAGCTTGAGTTGTATTGTCTTACCATTTTTGGGTGTTTCAGTGTGTTTTCATTACTGGTACTTCTACTCGTACTGCTTCCTGGTAAACACGGGTCTGCACTCAAAATGTTCTTTGCAGATATGTGTTAGCTTGCTGTAGTCTCATGCTTGACTTTGAACTTTTCGCTGATCTCACTGTCACTGGTTTGATTATTTGTTGTTTATTTTTTCAAATATCCCATTTTCAACCACAAATCCGTTTCTGGGGGTTGACTACTGTCCTACTTACTGGACTGACAACTGTTACATTTTTTGAAAAAGCACTGGATTCTGGTACAGTCAGTACTTTCCACGTGACCATAATGACCAATAAATACAATACAGATAGGTTAGCTGAATTGCGTTCAATGAAAACCATGTATACACAGCTAAAAAATGAGGCCAATTAAAGCTATGTATGTAGTGTAGTAGGGTGATACCAACTTAAAAAAACCCCACACGTTTCACTTCTGGATTAAATATGAATAAAAATAAAATAACATTATTTTCTTTAGCACCGGCATCATCATCAAAACGGCCTTGATCTGCGTCATCAGCAAAAATAAATCAAGTGCAGGGCCAAGTGCAGATAGTCTCGATTGTTCCACAACCTTTCTGCGGACCACCTGAATGGAGCTCATGGACCAGTGGTGGTCTACAGCCCACCTGAATGGAGCTCATGGACCAGTGGTAGTCCACGGGTCACAGTTTGAGAACCTCTCCACTAACGGACATGGGTTCAATGCCCTGACAGAGACCCAAGATGAGGCCTTATCCTCCTGAGCCAGAACTCCTTTTTGGTCCACCTTTATGTTAGCTCATGCTCTCTCCATAGCCCAAGAGGTTTACCTGGTGCTTTTGTTTTTCATGCATGGGATGGTTTAACTTGGTTCCATAGTGACGGGGCTTTGATGGTCCCTACTGAACTCCAGTTCCTCTTTTTGCTCGTTATTTGCTGTGCTCAGCATTGTCTCCTTTTTTTGTCTTCCTTATTTAGAACAGACATGAAACCTCCTTTCCTGTGCCTTCTCCATCACCAGATATCTGCCCACCAGAACTCACTGTATCTGGTAAGAGCCTTGCTTAGTTGCTCTCTGCTCTGTTTGTACAGGTGGCAGAGTGTGTTCAGCTCACAGTCTGCCAGTCTGAGAGAACAGAATTAAAATCTGAAATATATGTACAACAGTGTTAGTGTTTAACACTGTGGTCATGGAGCCTGATCCATTAGGGTAATTTATTCAGTAGGCATTATATAAGCCCAGGGCTGCTGGAGTGGTTCAGGGATGTTTTGCCTTTCAACTTTAGGCTATTGGTTCCATTCTGTGATGAAATGTCTTCACTATTATCCAAAGACTATGACACATGGTTCTGCTATCATTCCAGTGGCCAGGTGGCCCCATCATACTTAACAGATGGCAGCCCCGCTGATGGAGTGAATAACACCTAGAAACTAAAACAGTATTTAAAAAAAATCCCCATTCCTGACAAAGCCCTAGGTAGCCCCAAACAGGAGCACAGTTCTACAGTCATTGAGCTAAATTAGCTGCCACCAGTTGTCCATGAAGAGGAAGTTAATGTGTGATTGAATAACTGCTACGTCTGTCACACTTGTCTAAGGTATCCACAGTTCACATGTAGGTTAATGTTGTTCTTTTAAGCTGTATTTTCCCCTCTGCAGATGGCCCACAAAATACTGCTTGTTTTCACATTAATATTTTGCATTAGTCTGAAATGTGAATGCCATCCTTATGCTTCTGGTTGACGTATCCTGAGCTTGAGCCTGATCACACCAAAACAGAACTGGTAAAAATATTCAATAGCTTTACTTGGAAGTCCACTTTGTTTAGCTCTGAATCCCAAAGGGGTTTATTATTAATTGCATAATAAACATTTGAAGGGCAATATTCAGTCACATGATAAAATGTACCTGCTCCTTTGTGTGTGACCATTTGAAAATGTGGACCTGAAGGTCTAGGTTTTCAGCAGATATTGTGCATGAGTGGAAGATGCAGATGATTTTGAGAAAGATGTAAGGCAAGTTCTCTGGCTTATCTTCAGGCATTTGTGGCTTAAATAATTAATTCCCAGCCAAAAAAACTCTTCTCCCAAGGGCATTTTGGGCCCCTTGGCTATCTGTATTTGAGTTATAAAAAAAAAAGCAGATGAAAATTAATAACATTGACTGGAGCGCATCTGATTTGCTGGGTTCTTGGTTTTATTTCCCCATGGAATAAATGTTTTATCTGTCACTATGAATGCCCTTGCCCATTTGTGCATTTGAATGATAGAGCTAATGTTGTCAAATTGCTCGGACATTTGGAGACAGACATGCATATGGAGTAAGATTCCTTGGGCATAATTAGCATGGTACTGAATTAATGCTATTGCAAAATAGTCTTGGTCATAAATGTCTCTTTTCCTGACACATAAACCATTCTTCAGAAAGATTTACTGCCCTCACTTGATGTGATGACAGGTAAAGTCACATTGGGATGAGTTCACACAAGTTTTCACAATGCCCAGTGAAGTCAATGGAAATTGCAGATGTGTATACTGTCAGTGACCCACTGGGAAACCTTCAGAATGGCACTACGTGCCTTCCCTAGATGAGAGGGGCATGTCCACTCTAGGAACACTGCTGGGCTTTTCTTACCAAAAGTTAGTCAGTATGCAGCAAATCCCTCGTGTGGGCAGATAGATGATTTTCAAACATGTGAGCATGTCCATGTAGAGCTTCAGCACATATCAGCTCCCATATTTTAGCAAAAAATGCACCTTTGCCCAAGTGAAGGCAAGGTTCCTGGCAGAGCCTTGCCTACTGTGCACATAGGATTGTACAAAGGTGTGTGCAAAGAGATCCTTTGGCTTAAATAAGAGACAGCTGCAGGGAGGATTTTCTCTCTGAAGGGCCTTTCACTCTGGACTCTGACTGCTTTCACTGGTAATGCCATGGATCTGTTTTTATGACCCTCAGGACAAGCTGTGGATTATATCTCAGGGAGGTGATTGGACTGGCAAGGGGGGTGTGAGGGGATGAGGGCCAAGGCTGACTGATGTGGGTTAATTATTACTTGGAGTGTCTCCAAATAACATTATTATGATGTAGTGAAACCTAGTGGAAAGGACCTGGGGCTGTGTGTCACTCAACCTGCATCCTATTCCCAGATCTGCCATTCATCTGCTGTATCACCTCAGACAACTCTATTTCTAGGTGTTTTTTCTGACTCTGCCCCTTTGTCTGTATTGTGTACTTAGGCTGTGATCTGTTTGGGACTGGGTGTCTCTCTTACTCTTTTTCTATACAGCACCTAGCACAGCAGGACCCTGAGTCCATTTGGGCTGCCAGGCAGCACCCTAATACTAGGAAAATTCAGTTTGTGAATCAACTAAGGCAGTTCACTATGCATATTGTTTCTATACTGAATATTACAAATGCTGCCAAGGCCCAGAGTTTTAAATAGGCATCACTGTAAGTGGAAATAAATGACTAGTTTTGGAGGAACAAGAGCTTAGTCTGAAATCTGAATGAGTCGTCAGGGCCTGCTGGCTGTTCCTCAGTGCCTGATGGCCTGTATTGCTGCCTGTGTTTAGAGTTTCTGAGCAAAGCCACAGAGCAAAGCCTTGCTAATCCTGATTAGCAAGGAGTTGAAGGGGATCTGATCTGCCCTTGAACCTGAAGAGCAGAGTGTTGGGTGACCAATCTGGGGAACCTGTTTATTACCTCAGGCCCTGCTGGTATTAGCAGAACAGATGAATATTAGGATTATGATTGTGCTTGTGACTGTACCACTGCAGCTTCTGTTCATGTTTCCTTAAAATCCTACTCTTCTTACATGCAAGTCATTTTAGAACAATTCACTCATTTATTTTTCTAAAGTGCCCAAGTGATTGTGGAGCATGGTCCCACAGCCTTGTTCTCCTAAAGCACACTTTTGAACATCCCACACGTTGATTCCAAATGGCAAGAGTTTTCTTTAAGTAATTATAGCAATAGCTTTGATCCAGGATTCAGACATTGCAGAGATGAAAGAAATGGGACATTGGATCCTCCCCAAGGCACCATTCCATACCACTGAAGTCCAAAAGAACTTTATCATTGACTTGCATGTGAACAGGATTGGACCTTAGCAACTTCTGCTCTCACTGGATTCAGAGAGCATCCTTAGCAGTGTCTCAGAAGCAGTGGTGGTTTTACCTACACAAGTAATCTAAAGAGCAAATTTCCTCAGTCCTCTCCTTCCAGAGAGCTCTGGCAAGGACACAAAAATTCATAGTAATATACAGTGGGTGCATCTACATGTTCATTAATGCACTGTAGTTACTGTGCATTTACTTTAGTACTTCCTTAATGAAGTACTAACTACATGAACAGTAACTACATTTACTGTCCAGTAGTTCCATTGCAAAATGTTTTTGTGATGGATACTGCACAGTAGCCTAATAATACTGTGCAGTAGCCTATTAGTACGGTTTTTGACCGGCATGCTACTGCACAGTGTTAAGCGTTTTGTGTAGACATGCCTGATGGGAACTTCCTACGTGACTTATATGCAATAGTGTAACAAGGAGTGGGTGAACAGGGTGGTAGCCCCAGGTGCTGATTTTGAGCAGGTGCAAGAATGGGATGGCAGCCACTAGCTCAGATACTGTCATTGCCATGCAGGGTGCAGAAACTGCTTGTTATACCTCTGCTTATGTGCATAGGTCCCATTAAAATTCAGCAGCATTTCTGCTCCTGATTCATGTGGGCATTTTTGAAAATTCCTCCTGTAATGAAAAGTAGATCACAGCTGTTGGACCTTTCTCCTGATCCCTTATTCTCTTTGACAAAGGTGCCCTCCCTCTGTTTCTCTCCTGCCCCCTCCCCACTGCATTTTAATGCCTGTGCTCTATTTGCAGTGGACTCCTTGGAGGTATAATGCAACCTGCCCAATCTTAGAGAAAGGGAGCCAATCCTGTGCACAGCATCCAGACAGAAACCTTGCAACCTTGAGCGTTAAATTCTGTCTTTAAGGGGAATTGTGAACACTTAAGTAAGATCAGACCAAAAACATAAACAGGCACTATGTTGAGTCTGTGTCAAAACTCCCAGGCTGGAAGGCCAGTAATGGTCTTTACAAAGTCTTCCTTGTTGGGCCTCACTTCTATAAAACAAAAACATGAGCTGACATAGTTGGGATCCAGGCTGAATTTCATCCAAATCACTCAAATCCCAGGACCCCTAAAATTTCTTCCCCAAAATTTCCAAGAATCACCTTGCAAGCTCACATCCAAGTGCCCTTTAAGGAGTCTAACTACTGACTGCATGCCCACCTTCTGAAAATCTGGTTTCTTATAAAGTGCCTTAAATTGGTCTCTTAGGAACACAAATTTCCTTTAAAAATCTTGGCCTCCACTGTTGGTCCATCTGTAATTGCAGTGTACTTGGTGCAGTGACAATGTCCCGACTCCCAGCTTTGTTCTGAGGTTCCTTGTAGATGTATAATTTTCCCCTCAATGCTCATTTGTTAATGATTGCTTTACTGTCTTTTAGCACCTTCTTCATCTTCTAGTCAGAGGGCAGCTTCAGGGAACAAACCAAAAGTAGCACTGGATCCCCATATTCGTCTCAAAGATGGAAAACTTGAACTAGTAAGTGGAACACTTTTCTGTCTAGGTGTTGAGATTTTGTCATCAATAAAATGCTGAGGGTATGAACAGATGACACACACACTGCAGGGTGGAGAATTTACAATAGCTATTTTGTCTGTCCGCTCCTAACCAACAGTTTCATTCAGGGGCAAATGAATGCAGTTTAGCTCTATGTAATATGGTACAGGAGCAAACAAAGAGAACAGGGATCAAGAGTTTGATGGATCAGTGAGATGGATCAGTCTTTTTCTACACAATGGAATAATTGGAGGACAATTATAATATGGCTTAATTCAAAACTAGAACGTTGCAGCAGTTACTGATTTATCTAGTTTGGTAATTTTCTGTTTTGTCTTAAAGCCACCTTGAGTTATTCAGTGAAAAAATACCCTTCTTGTTAATTTTCATTCAATACACCATATATTCTAGAGCAGTGATTTTCATCCTGTGGTCCCTGGGAGACCCCTGGGAGTCTACAGACTATATCTAAGGGGTCGGTGAAAGATGACTATGATCAATCAAAAATATATGAATACCCACACTTACAGTTCAAAGGGGTTTGCACCTGCATTCAAAATTTTTTTAAAGGTCCACAAATGATAAAAGGTTGAAAACCAACTATTCTAGAGTCTTAAAGCAGTGCATTAGAATTTCCTTATGTGACCACTTCTTAAGATTAGATAGAAGCATAGACTGAGCTGAAAATATATTTTGGCCTTTTTTCCCAATTCTGTTTTAAAAACATTATGTTGAGGCTCATGATGACTATGTCTGTTAATGGCATCGGGGTCAGTGTGTCACTTGCTTTTAGGAGGGATTAAAAAGCAAAATCCTGAATACAAATAGTCTGAGAGAATCTGGTGCCTACTTGTTTGTATAGAATAAGTCTATAGCACTTGATCTTAGTGTGGCCTAATCTGCACATACGTCACTAACACTGGATACCGTCTGCTCCAATCTGATTCCCCTTTAGTCTAATCCAGAGCTGAACAAGGATGTAGAGGGCTATTAATAGAACTGTTAGTCAGAGTTCAAGTAGCGTGAGAAGCGGACACAAGGATTCAAACATTGATTACACTGTTAGGATCACAGAGTTCATTCAGCACAATTAGGTCCAAGTCCCAATTTGATTAATGAGATGGAGGCATAACGGATTTATACCAATCTATATTACTGGGAGTCCTGTAAGCATGGCAGCATTACACCGCAGCTGTCTTAAATTCACCCATGCTGTGAAGTGTGTTTGTCAGCCCTTCAAAATTCTAAATGAGCTAAATGAGGAGAGACAGCACAGCTTCATCCCCACGAATGCCATTTAACAGACATCTGAATTCTCCTGGTTTATTTTTGTTCCTTTTAACTTGCACAGCAAGCTCCTAAGAGCTCCTATGTCCATAGTGAAATTACTGTTGGTACTAGTATTGGAAATCTATACAGAGCTTTGCATCAGAAGAACCCCCGCTGCTTTCCTATCTCTGAGGCCAATCTGGCTCTGGTTGCCATGATGGCCTAAATGTTTTAATCTTTACTGGCAGAATTTTAGAAATATGCCTCAGTGTGAGTGAGACTCAGCCCCAGTACCAGTAATGTATTGAAAGTGCATGAAGATCTGAGAGTCCCAACCATATTTATAAATTCATATTCATAGAAGTAGGGTCGGAAGGGACCTTGTAGATCATCAAGTCCAACCCCCTGCCCTGGGCAGGAGAGAAAACCGGGCTCAAATGACCCCAGCCAGGTAGACATCAAGCCTCCTCTTAAAGACCCGCAGGGTAGGAGCCAGCACCACTTCCCTTGGAAGTTGGTTCCAGATCCTAGCCACCCTGACTGTGAAGTAGTGCCTTCGGATGTCTAGTCTAAACCTACTCTCTAACAATTTGTGGCCATTGTTCCTTGTTACCCTGGGGGGCGCTGGGGGAACAAGGTCTCTCCCAAACCCTGCTGGTCCCCCCTGGTGAGTTTATAGACGGCCACCAGGTCCCCCCTCAGCCTTCTCTTGTGAAGGCTGAACAGGTTAAGGTCCCATAGCCTCTCTTTGTAGGGTCTGCCCTGCTGTCCCCAAATCAAATGGGTAGCCTTCCTCTGGACCCTCTCAATGCTGTCCACATCCCTCCTGAAGTGCGGCGCCCAGAACTGAACACAATACTCCAGCTGCGGCCTGACCGCAATATTGTTTTTTTTTTAAACATCCTTACTCAAATTGCACACACAACCTCTGCAAAGGATGGGGAATAGAACTCGTTAGCTACTATGTGGTGAAATCTAATTAAGTCAAGAGAACTGGTACTTCCTTTTTTCAACTGTTCCATCTGAAACATGCACCCCGTTGTATTTTAGCGCATCGTGATGGAGAATGCATGAATACACAACCCCCAGTAAGGTTATCTCCCAACTCAAGCTGGTGGATGGATACAGCTGAAGTCTCTGAAGTATCTTGTATTGTTTCTGCAGCAGGTGATATGTTTTCCTGTGCAAGAAGAGCCTTTTCTAGGTGTTGAGGCAGAGTTTGCTGTCACCTTGTGGTGGATGAAGCAGTTGCTTTTTCAGTGTGTGTAATCCTATGAAAATGTGGAAAGCAGCATATGGACAGAAAGTTTTGTGCTAAACCTCCATTATTCTTCTTAATCATAAATCAGGATTAAATTTTCTCATTGAACTTTGCCTGCTCTGGGTTTGAACAAATTTGTTCTCTGTATTAAGAGTTTTAGTACACTTTGCCTTCACTTTTTAAAATCGGGGGTTTTGAATGGTACAATTTTATTCTTCCCCATCTAAGATTGTTCCCCCAACCTTCACCCTCCCAGAAAGCTTGTTTTCCCACTCAGGTTATTTTACAGACTTACTACTTTATTTCCTTGTTAAAGGTTTTGCAGTATCTGGGTCTGAATGTGACTGAGGAGAAGAGGAGGCAATTACGGCAGAGTCTGACCACAGATTCTCAAGGAACACTGGCCTATGGAGGTGAGCAGAGTGCTTCTCTTCATTCTGCAGAACTCATTACCACCCAGGGGCAGACCAGCTAAGAGATGATGGCAAGAATAAAGGGCTGTGCCTGGACAGGCTTTCATTCAGACTCAGTGAATTCAGTAAATGGTCACTGAAGGAAAAAGACTTTAAATCAGTACAGATGTATGGGGCCAAGAGAGAGAGCATACAACAAGCCCATTCTCCTGAACCCTTCAGCCTGCTTGGTCTAGCAGTACCCAAAAGAAAAATCGCTGTCCGTGGGCTGATGGCAAATAGCTGTCCCCTAAGTGTTGCTTGTATTATTACTCTGTCTCTGCTCTGAAAGTCAGCATAGTTCCAAGGCAGACAAGGTTCCTTGGGTGAATTTGATATCTTTTATTAGACCAACCCAAATGGTTGGAGAATAGCTATTAAGCAAGCTTTTGGGTTCAAAAACCCTTCATCAGGCTAAGGAAGTTTCAGCAGTTGGTATGTGCTCTTCCTGGATGGAATGAAAAGTAAAGAAGCCAGGGGCTGGGCTGGGCTGGGCTGGGGAGTCAGTTGCCAGGCAGATTATAATGTATCAAAAATCCAATGTCTATGTTTAGTCCCTGATCTCTAGTATCCAGCAGGTTGATGAAATGGAGCTCATAGGCTCGTCTCTGGGAAGTGTTGTATAAGTTTCCCTTGAGGATCGGGACTGAGAGATTGGAGAGAGAGTGGCCCTCCTGTGAGAAATGTGCCCCCACCGGTAATTGGGTGTTTCTGTCTTTGATGGATTTCCGGTGTGCGTTCATTCTGGTGCGCAGTTGTTGTTTGGTCTCTCCTACATATCTTCCATCAGGGCATTTGGTGCAGTGGATGAGATATATCACATTTCTGGAGGTGCAGCTGTAAGATCCAGGAATGCTGATGGCTCTGTTGTGGGGTGTAGTAATAGTGGGGGTGGTGGAGATGTGTTGGCAGGTTTTGCATTTCTTGTCCTGGCACGGTCTGGATCCTTTTGGTGTGTTCTGGGCTTGAGGAAGTTTGTTTCTGGTGATGAGGTTGGCGAGGTTCAGTGCTTGTTCTGTACTGCAGCAGTTCTTCACGTGGTATCCAGGTGGCTCTTTCAAACGTGCGATCTACCTCTCTGGAGGAGTGTCCTTGCTGGGTGAAAGCCTTTTTATGATTGGTGAGGTGGCAATCCCGGGTGTTTTCTTCAGTACAGATGCGGTGGTATCTGAGGGCTTGGCTGTATATCACAGCTTTTTTGGTGTGTTTAGGGTGATTGCTGGTTCTGTGCAGATATGTATGTTGGTCTGTGGGTTTCTTGTATACTGTGGTCTGTATTTTACCCTTCTGGATACTGATCATTGTGTCTAAAAAGGGGATGTTGGTGTTGGAGTATTCTAGAGAAAGTCAGATGGAGGGATGGTGACTGTTGAATTTCTGATGGAACCCAATTAGAGATTGCAGGTTCTCAGTCCAAATGATGAAGATGTCATCGATATATCTTAAGTATAGCAAGGGTTTGATGGTGCAGTTCTTGAGGAAGTCTTCTTCCAGGTGGCTCATAAAAAGGTTGGCATACTGTGGGGCCATTTTAGTGCCCATAGCTGTTCCCATCATCTGGAGGAAGTGTTGATTATTAAAAGTGAAATTGTTGTGTGTGAGGATGAAGTGTATAAGGTTAGTAATACCTTTGGGTCTGTATTCTGGGTTGTCCAAGACACTACAGACTTGCTACGGAAACTTAAAAACGTAGACCACCTTCCCAGCAACACACTCCTAGCCACCATGGACGTTACCAGCCTATATACCAACATCCCACACCAGGATGGCATCCATGCCTGCCTTACATATCTACAGGAACAAGATTACAACCCAGAAGGAAGCCCTGTTTTTTTTAATACAACAGTTCATACCAACTGGGACTCATATTAGCAATCTGGTAGAGAGGCTAAAGACTGTGAATGGGTTATGGAGAGTGAGGGACTGTCTGCACTGTGGTGGCAGAGAACTCAGTCATGTTGCCAATTAAGTAAATCTCACCTACCTATTCCTGCTTCACATGCATCAGCCCCAGATCTGAGGTGGTGCAGCACTTCCCACCACCATCCCTGAGCATGTCAGAATGGTCAAAGGGGTCGATTCTGTTTGGGCTTTTGAAAACTGAAAATTCTTAAAAGTTATTGATAGCCAACACTTTTTTTAATTTCCTTTTTTCCTTGTCAAAGAACTAAAAAAATGCAAGGTTTTATTAAAATGAAGTCTTGACTACATTTTCTATGAAAAATACTTGGCTTGTTTTAACTAGCTGTGCTCAGCAGACAGTGAATTTGCCTGTTTTCTGCAACAACCATTCACTAGTATGTAGCTAGGGCTTTCTCTCTTCATCCTATTACTGTTGTGGTTTTCTTTCATAGATCTTCTCCAAGCACTCAGGGATCTGCTGCAGGATGAGCTAGAGGAGGCTGGCCTAGATTCCAGTTCTGTGCTCTTCACTCAACATGAAGTGGCCAATTTACTGGATACATCTGCTTTTCACTCTCTGGTCAGCCTTAGCCAAATATTTCTTCTCAGTTGTCTTTTAAGTCTACTGCAGTGGTTTTCAAACTTTCTAAAGTCATGGAGCCCTTTCATTTTACTTCTTCTTCTACCACAGAATCCATACCCTGATCTTAAAGACTTGACATGGCATTAGGTAACCTGAGCCAGCTCAGCAATGGAGGTGCATGACCTCCCAGCCCACTCCACCATTACTCCTAGTCTCTTGCAGAACCCTTGATGACTAGGGTTCCATATAATACTGTTTGAAAACCAGTGGTCTGCTGCATATTGTCTTGGTTCCAAAGCTCACCTCAGGTCAAAAACTTCATGGGTCTTTATGAGAGTTTGTGTGTTGGCTAGACCAGCAGTTCCCAAACTATGGGTTCAAATGGGGTCAGGGCTCTAACAAATAAGATTGCAGCCCCACAGAAATTAATTTATAGCAGTTCTCTTTGGACCAGGAATGGTTTGTAAGCCCAGAAGTGGGGCCACTGCATGAAAAGATTGAGAATTGCTGGACTAGACATTGTAGAAATAAATAGCGCTGGTGAGACCTCTCTGAAAAATCAAAGAGGGCAAAGACAAAAGAGCTCTCTTTCACTCATCCTTTAATTTTTTGAAAGGAGAAGCTGGACTTTCATCCTTTAATCACTAAGATTATAGGAAATTCCATAAAGGACCTCCAACTTCATATGCTTAATAAATAAAAATGTGTAATGCCTGTAAGGAAGTGGCTGATGTAATTTGTCTAGTGTGTCAGTTGAAAAATTTATCACAGCAAAACTATTTTATTGATTTCATTGCCTCAGGGGCCAACTTATGTCATTTTGATAATGATAAGGAAGGAAAGTTAGATGTGGTAAATCTCTTCCAACTACTGCCAAGTTTAAAACAATGTGAGAATTCACCATGGTTCAGTTGTTTCGCTTATCACATGGCTCGAAGGCTGAATATCTGTGGAATACAAAGCCACAGTTGGATTATAAAATGTGATGTTTGATTTGTTTTCTGACAACACAAACCATCTGTGAAAATTATTTTGAATAACATTATTCCCTGCATGTAAAAAAATAGACATTCTTGCATTGTAACCACAGACTCAGGGTAAAGGGTAAGAAATCACTCACCATGTGTGCATCTATGCATTTTAGACTTTTGACTCTGTCAGCTCTAATGACAACGAGGAACTGGAACAGTTGCAACTGGAAACGACAGATCTACGGCAAGAAGTGCGAAGGCTGAAGGTGAGGTTTGTTTTTTGAGCAAGTTGTCTTGTCCTGTTCCTTCTGCCAGAATTCATATTAGTAATACACAAGGGTAGCATAACTACTAGGAGGGTGCTCTGTGCATATTACATCCTTTCATTCCTAGGCATTTGCTGTAGAGAGTATCCACTTTGGATTCTATTCAATACAAATTGTTACAGAGGAGACTGTCACAGTGTACTCTCTCCTGTAAAACTTATTTTTTGTCTGTTCCTTGTTGTTGCTGCTTTGTCCTTTCCTTGTTGTTTCTGCTATCGTTAAAACAACAGTTGTTTGTGCTGAAAGTGTGAGATCACTATTTTTCTAAGAAAAACCATGGAGGCAGGTAAGTGTCTTAGAAAAATACAAAGCACCAAAAACAAACCAATGAAATTCTGTTCACAACCTCAGTAAAAATCCCAGAGATCTAACCCATAGGCTAGGTACAAACAGTCAAAAAGCCCAAGCAGCCTTTGCAGGTTAGTCTAACCTGCACAGATTAAATTGAAACAGAAGTGAACAGACATTTACCTTTGATTCAGGAAATGCAGCCACATGTCTGCACTGGCTCAAGCTAAAAGCTGGGAGGTGCTAGAGCATGGATCTCTGTCTGTGTGTTCACTTCCTCTTCCTGCTGCCCCCAAGGTCTCTGGGATTTGCAGTCCAGAATTACAGAAACATGACTCTGCAGGGTTCTCATCACTTCCTCTTCCTGCTTCCAGGTGCTTCTGGGATTTGTAGTCCACAGTTGCAGCCAGCAGTAAATTTGAATGGGGGAAGGGGTGTGTAACCATGCTCCCTGGCCCCAGACCCTAGCTGGGGTTTGCCTGGTGGGGACAGTCCCCCACACTGTAGACTGGACTGCATCCCCAGATGGGCTTGCCCCCTCCCCGCACCTTGTCAGCCAGCCCTCACTGCTCCAGCTAGGGAACAGAGGGGTGGGGCCAGCCCTGTTCTTTGGAGCAGACATCTCAGCCCAGCCCAGCCCAGCCCAGGGCTGGAAAGCATGCTGGGGGACTGTGATTTTAACTTGAACCCGGAAGGGGTCTAGGACAGAAGTTTTGTAAACTGGTTTGACCCAAATCAGTTAACTCTGGTACTATATTCAGTAGGGTTTATCTTAAGCCAGTTTCAGCCATTTTGAAATTGGTTTATTTGCACTCAACTTCTGTCCTGTTACAGGTTTAAACCAGTTTCTGATCACTTAAACCAGTTTCTGTGTAACTTCTGTCCCTAGCCTTGTTGATAACCCCACTGTTACATTCATAATTGTGAAAAGGTAAATTTTTCAAATACACTGTGGCCAGCAAAAATGCAGCAGCCATCTACACGCCTGTCTTCTTAAAATATTGCTTAAAATCTATATATCTATGTATCTATATCGATATATATATATCTCTGTATATCTATATATATATAAGGGCTTAGTCTGTCTGTCCATAACACTCATGGGAGGTGTGCCTCCCAGCAGGGCATGACTCCAGACAGTGCTGCATGCAGGGCAAATTGCCCGTCAAGAATGATGGCGGGGATGGAGCGCTGCCATGACGGCAGGGACAGAGGGGATGGAGTGGTGGGGAAGGGAGGGTGGCGCGGGGCTGGATGCAGAGTGTGGGACAGAGAATGATGGTGGAGATCAAGTGCCACCATGACGATGGAGGCGGAGCGTGGGTGGGGGGGTGAAGCCAGCACTGCTGCCCTCACCCCCCCTCCCCAGCCCTGCTCCTTGGAGGTGGCAGCGGCAGTGCGGGATCGTGGTGGAGGGGGACAGCGGGAACGGAGTGGGATGGCAGAGCACCATGACAGAAGGGATGGAGCTGGGAGGCAAGGCCAGCACCGCTGGCCTCATTTCCCCCACCCCCCTGGCCCTGCTCCTTGGAGGTGGCAGTGGCTGCAGCATGGGGTGGTGGCAGCGCAGCACTGGCCTCGCCTCCTCCCCTGTCCCCACCATCACGTGTAATTTGCTAGTTCTTAAAATATTGCTCTTGTGCAGAGAAAATTCAGGTCCATAGTATTCCTTAGTGAATGCACTGTTAAATGTGACACCTAATCAAATGAAAATCTGCCTTTCAGTCTCTTCTGAAGGAGGTGGAGAACAGCAAGAAGTCAATGGAGGAAGAACTTCAAAGACTGAACCAGGTTAGTGAAAATATTACTGATGCTTTGTCTCACTGGTTGTGTGTGGTGTTTACCTCAATGCTGCCTCACTGCTGGATAAGATAAGGGACAGTTTTGGGGATCTTACCTTGCAGTTTCCACACACCCAAGCCTGCAGCTGAAACTAAGTCACCATCTGTACTTGTTATAAATTATTGGTAGTGCTGCAGTACCAAGATGTTCTAGCCAGGAATGAGGACCTGATTGTACTGGCTATTATGTGCTCACATAATGAAAGGATGGAGTCCACTACAAGCAGGTTAAATTTAAATAAAGGAGCAATAACAATCTTGTGTCTCATGGAGAAGCATCTCCATTTCCAATGAAAACAGGCCCTCAAGCTGGCAGTGCATCCATTATTTTAGCTACAGTGCAACTCTAGTTCCATACATCTCTATGTTCTAGCCCTGTGTTGCAATGACATAGTTACAAGGGAAAAGATAGCCAGAATGGGTGAAGGCTTTCCATATGGCACTATTGGAAAAACAATAGTAGCTTATTCTGAGAGAAAGCTGGTTGGCTGGCCCTGCATTGATGGCTGGCCCTGACGCGGATGCTGTAATGAATGCTCCTCATTGCTTCTAGAAGGCTCTGGGCTTCCTCTCTGAGAATCGGACCCTGCACAGCAAGCTACAGATGGCTGAGGTGGTGCAGCGACAGGCTCGCAGTGCGGAGCAGGACTACGAGGAAGTGATCCACCTGCTGGAGACAGAAATCACTGAGCTGAAAACTAAGCTGGCAGGGAAGAAAGCAAAGCATGTCTCTGAAGCAGAGGTGATGTGTCTGTATCCGGGAGGGCTGGCTTGGGGGTCAGGGGGCTAATGGAAAGGGCCATTTCTTTAAAAAAATGGATTTATTTTATGGATGGGTTATAATTCATAACACTGAAGCTGGCAGAATTGTAGGGCTCATGTTCATACTTAGTATGGCTTCCAGTAATCAGCTCACAAGAAAAGGCTTCCTTCATAAAGATGAGCACTTATGGCTAGCTCTGACATGGCAGAAACTAGCACATTGTGATACCAGGTGACTCCAGCTCATTTTCTTGTTTTACTTACCCCAGTCTCCCAGTTTGAGCCTTCACCTCATAGCCAGTAATTCTGATGTTGGGCTTGCTTTGGAAGCAGGTTCCATTTTGACAGTTTCCCAGTGGAGAAGTCATTCCTGGGCCTGCCATCTCAAGCATTCCTCATGGGGCAGAACTGCATAAGCAGGAGAGAAGCACATGGAGGATGGGTCTCAGACCCAGGCAAATTATGTTGGTGGCTAATGGCCATGGGATGTGTACTTGCCAGCAGACTTTTTCTTGTAGCACATTAGCATAACTAGACCTGGGCCCCACTTATAAGATGATGTGAGACTCTCCCCCTGAGAGTCTTTACCATGGCAGGGGCAGCCCTGTGTTGCTTAGCTATAAAAGCTGGGCAGTGCAGCCCTGTACCCAGTAGTGCATCTGGAGAATAGCATGCAGGGGGTGAGCAGCAGTAGCAGGTGCCTTCCCTGTGCAGGCCGCCTGGGCAGGTAAAACTTCCTTTTCCCCCTACCTACATTAGTTGGTGCATCCCTTGTTGTGGGTGCTCAATGAGCTCACTGTGCCTTTGCTATAACATAACTTAATACTTTTCTTTTTTTCTTTTCTGCCCCTTAAAAATTCTCACTCTCTTAATCCAGCGCACTTTATTGGAGGTAAAAATTGAAGCTCTTTTTGCTTCCTTAGTGGGATATTTTTAGATTTCCAAGTGTAGGTGCTGTGGGAGAAGATAGTTTATTTGTGCCCTTAGCTGCCTTCTTATGTAGCCCTGAAAAGTGCTAGTAGGATGGTAGTCTCACAGCAGCTTTCTAATCCTGGCTCAGGGAAGCTAATTACTCTGGACCTGGCATTTGCTTCTATTCCCAAGATACTCTGACATTGTGTTAGTGCTTTCAAGGGTCTCAGTTCTGCTTTCACAATCACCTTTCTCTTCCTTCTGTTTGCAAATTCCTGCCTCATTATTTTTATTCCAGGGAGACATTCTGGAGCTGAAAAAAAGATTGTCCCTGGCTGATGGTCAATTACGGAAATCTGAAGTCACACGGAAGCGCCTGGAAATCTGCAACAGAAAGTTGTTCTTGTTTGTGCAGGTGAAGTATTGAAATGTGGCAATTATCTATGAAACCCTTAGCATGAAATGCATGTTACACTTAGACCATACTAAGCATACTTAAAAAGCAAACATCCATATGTTAAAACTCATTAACTCATGCTAAGTCCCCTCTGAGCATCTCAAAGTTGCATCACTTCAGAAGTGGGTTAACTCTGGGCTTTGCTACATGGCTTATGTTAGGGTAACTTCAGTCTGCTCCACAAAGATAAAATGAGCTATTTGCAGTCCTCAAGGATCCCAGGATGCACCTCTTCCAGCTGCCCCAGCCTCCCCCCATCTACTGCTATAGACCAAAACAACCCTTCCTCTATGTGGAAGTGTATGCTGACCTAATAGAATCAATGTGATTCTGCTCTGGAAAGTGGGCCATGACCCCAGGAACCCACTTCATAGGTTCATTAACTCTGAGTATCATGAAGCTTTACTCTTAGCGAGTCCATTGCACCCACACCACAATGAGTGCTGGAATGTCATGTCATGGAGGAACTGGGTTATTGGATCTAGTTGCCAGTCTTCCCCATGGAGGTGAACAGAATTGGCTGTAAATATGACTGCAATTGCATCAGTCTACTGTGCCATAGAAACTCCAGCTCCATTGGTGATTATCAATATGCAGTTCAGCTGTTTGGACTGGTGCAGGAATTTTGCCTATTTGGTGTTAGGTATTCCTTTTGAACTTACTTGCTATAGGCCTGACTCCTTGAAGGAAGAAAGGAACTGTACCTTGTGAGGAAACAAAAAAGTAAAATGGAGACCAGATTCTACCTCAACAGATTTGGAGGAGGAAGAAATTAGAGATCTCTAGAGTTACTGTACTATGTACTGGCTTAAATAGGGATAGATACTAGATACTGAAGTATATAGGTATTGATAGGACTCTTTCTTCAAAGCAAACAGCACTGAACTTTGGGTGACTACTCAGTAGACCAAAATGTCTTTCTCATACATATACCTAAGCAGTGCTTGGAAATTCTCCATCTGTGCATGTTAATGGCTCTATCCATTCAAGAACAGGAGTAAAGCATAGGAGAATAATGGTAATAGTACACATGGTTGTGTCTACACGAGATGCTTTACTATGCAGTAGCGTAGTTTACTGCTCAATAAGCATGCATATCTACATGTGCACACACTTACTGAGCAGTAAATTTAGCTAATCTTGAGCAAATCTGTTACCTGCAAATGTAAGTAGCAAATGTGCTTGCGATTAGTTACTGCGCAGTAGCGCCCGTGTAGACACCTGACCTGGAACAAATCTGTTCCCGGTCAGCCAGCCAGTAGGGGGAGGGACTTTGCTTAATGCCCCCAGAAGCTACCTGCTGCTGGGGTGGGCCCTGCCACTGGAGCCCAGGCAGGGACTATGTACCCCTGCCCTGGCAGCAGGGAGCTCCAAGCCCCCCGCTCTGAGATCGTGATCAAGTTCCTGATCTCCCAGCCCTCACTTTGCCATCTCAACTGAGGAGAAGGGGGCTTAGAGATTCTTATCCCCAAGCGCCAGCTCCGCAGTTGCAGGGCTGTCACGGGAAGGTTCTTATCTCCCAGCATTAGTGCTGCAGTCGCAGGGCCAGCACTTAGAGATAAGGATCTCCCAGCACTTGCCCCACGACTGGGGAGCTGGTGCTGGGAGCTCCCTGCTGGCAGGGGCTGTGGAGCCTGTTCCCTGCCTAGTTCCATGATCACGTAGCTGGGCGGGGAACAGACTCTCCAGCCCCCATCCCGCAATCATGGAGCAAGGGGCTAGGAACTATCCCAGTCAGGAGCAGGTCCCAGTCCCATGCCCTGATTGGGTGATTGAGGCATGGGGCTTGGAAAGAGCTGCAGGGATGGGGCAGGTCCTAGTCCCCTGCCCCGTCCACTGGTGGGGCAGCTAGTAGCAAGCCCTCAGCTGGGTGGGGATTCCCCACTCAGCCTGGGGCTCGCTGCTAACTGCCCCATTGGTGCATCAGGTCAGGGAGCTGGCACCTGCCCCTCCCCTGCAGCTCTTTCCAAGTCCCTTGCCCCAATCAGGAAGCTGGGGCCAGGAGTTCCCTGCTGCCAGGGCAAGGGAACATTTTTCCTGCCCCAGCAGCAGGCAGCCCCCCGGGAGCAGGGTGCAGTGTAAACTGCTCCCATATCTAATGCACGTGTAGATGCACCCACATTGAAAGATACTCTGACAAACTCTTCTTTTGAAGTTTTTAAAATTTTGCTTCTGATATATTTTAGTATCTATATTAATATGCGTAATTTAAACATGACTGTAGATTTGCATAGACTGTGATTTTTGCTTGTGTTACAAAGGGCCTTGAGATATTAGCTTCAAGGGCAGTGAATAAACAGAAGCTGATTACTGTCATACTAAATCTGATCTCTAGCAACCATCCTAGTGTTCATTCTCTGGAATGTTCCAGTTCTACAAGTCTGTGATACTATTTTCCTTCTTTTTACCTTCACAGAATGTACACAAGGTTCTGAGCAAATCCAGCCATTTACCAGATGAGAAAAGGTTGGGGAAGGCTTCTGGGAACTGTAACTGTATACCTGAAATGACCTTGTTTAGACTGTTCTCTGCCTGATGTGTTATAGGGGCCAACTGCTGTTGTTGCTCCTTATCTGCATTTGCTAAAGTCTCTAGTTTGTTTGTAAATGAAATAGATAAAAAAAAATCTTGTGATGAAGGATATATCAACACAATCTCCGTGCCATGTTGGGGAGCTTTGCTATGGAGCAGGCCCTTCCTGTTCTAGCCTACACACACTCAGTCCCGGAACTGAAGCTACATTAGAGCAGGGGTTGGCAACCTACTGCCTATGGGCCGGATCCAGCCCACAGAACCAGGTGATCCGGCCCACAGACAGGGCTTTGGCACTATGCTTCCCTGGGGAAAAGTGCTGGCTGCAGGCACTCTTCCTTTGCTGCTATGACTAAATGCCCCAGACTCGAATTGGGTTTATCTTGTCTGCAGCCTTAAACGGTTGCTAACTGCTACCTTAGGGTAATGCTGGGTGAGTGCCAATAAACATGGGCAACACAGAGCTAAGAGCAGTGCTGGACACATACTAAGGCAGATACTCTGCGTATCATGTTCCATGTCAGAACTAGGCATGGAACAGGAGTAAGTAGGCAAGGCATGCTTTGTGGTGGCAGTCTGGGGGATAGCATGGAGGTTCATAGATTCATAGATGCTAGGGTCGAAGGGACCTCAATAGATCATCGAGTCCTGTCGAGGTGGATTAGACATGCCTCAAAAACACCAGATTGGGGCTCAAAGAGATTTGGCTTCAATTCCTATGGTGTTTAGTGACCTTAAGCATACCACCTAGGCCCAAATTTTTATTATAGGGTCACAGGCAATGGGTAGGGAGGGCATGGGGGGGGGCGGGGGCACGTGACCCCTCTGAGATTGGCCCCTGACTTGGCACCACTCAGGATGGGGCAGTTTTTTTGCTGCGTGGGCTGGCAGTGTGTTGGGGAGGCTAAGCTGTGGCACAGAAGTATAGGAGTGGATATGGAGCTTTTGACCTGCGTCCGGGCCCGCCCACAAATTGTGCCCCCCCAGACTCAGGAAGCACCAGTCACCCCTGTATAGGGTCATAAATAGTCTCATTTTCAGAGGTCCTGATAAGGTTAAGTCAGAGATGCAGAATTTAAATCTGCCTAACTTGCCTAACATTTGCTGGTATTTGGTTTTAGGCCAGTCTCTACTTCTGACATCTGTTACTGAAATCAGGAGTTGTTCTTTCTTGCCCAAATTCAAGTGAATGGGCTGTAAATCTCTGTAAAAGGTTATAAGGATACTGTCCAAACCTGTCATCCCAGCCCACAAACTGGATCAACCTCTTCACTTCTATTTGTTGGACAAATCCATTGATTCTGTGTGTCTATGTCCAAAACAAGTGTCAGAGCTCTGATTTTTTTAACTGATCAAAAAAAATTGTATCTAAATGCAAATGAGCAACCTTATAACAAGAAGCAAGTGCATAAATGTGATTGTGGGGGAAGCAGATTTCAAATTCAAGTTTCCAAAGGGGTGATTTTCCAAATAACAATAAAAAATGCTTGAAAAATTTGAAAAATGCAAATACTTTGACAACATCTTGGAAAAATTTCCTATCTGATTAAAGCACAACTGTGCTAAAAGAGCTAATGCTTAATCCTAATCCTAGTTCTAAAAAAAGCAAAGCTCCTGTGACTCTGAGAGAGGAAGATGAAATGCACATGCACAAACTTTGTAATTAACTGATGGTTTCCCTCACGAGTTATTGGTCAGAGTCTCCAATGCATTGCTCATGTTATCATGGAAAGACCAGCTCATCATCTTTTATTTTTAAGAGAGAACAGTGAGACTTTGGAGGATAAAACAGAAGTAGTGTCGGACACATCTCTCCCATCTTCAGATCTGATTGACTTATTGATATCGGAAGCTAAAGAATTATTGGAGCCCATCCAATCGAACACAGAGGAAGGTAGGTTCTGTAAAAACCTCTCGGTGACCAGTCAGCTGTCCAGGGGTAATTTCAAAAGAAGAATTTGAAGTTAAGCAACTCCAGAGCATGTTCATTTTGGTGAAATTTACAGTGTCACCCACCCCTACATACTTGCATGTTCCACCAATTTAGAATTTAGCAGGGGTCTGTCTCACTTGTGCATGAATGTGCATCTTACACTCCATCCCCAAGATGAGTTATCTTTGAACCGGCTTATGGAATCAGAGCATACAGGAGTCTGAGGCACTCAAATTAGTGTAACTTTTCCCCAGGGAGTGGAAAAAAGAAGTTTAGCAAGAAAAGCAACAAACAGAAGGTAGAAGATGTCTTTCATATATCAGTTCTATCAACTTAGACCCTTGGGGTACCTATACACGTGCTCCAGTGTGTTCTGATTCCAGTATGTTGGAGTGAATTTGATTAATTGAGTCTGCTGGAGCGTTCTAATTAGAACTCTCCAGCATGCTGTGGTGTCACATGTATTCAGTGACCCTGTGTTTCAAAATAGCAGCAGGGGGACTTTTAATTAAAGCTCATCAGATGCCATTTTGAAACATGAGACTCTGAATACATGAGACGCTGCAGCATTTTAATTAGAGTGGCTCCTGAGAGCTGCTCTAATTAAAACATCCACCCCTGACCAGAGCACGTGTATAGGCACCTTTGGAAATAGAAGTTAGTCTAAAGTGATAATTCTCAATCAGGGTGTCGTGGCACTCTGGGGTGCTGCCAGATCTTTTGAAGAATGCTCTGCAGTGTAAAGAGATAAGTGTTAGGAGATGAGGAGATAAACTAATCAGATAAACATAGGCTCAGGCTTGTCCCTGCCTGGATGATCCTCCATCCCCGCTGCTCATCCCCTCTGCATAGAAGTAAGTACTGTCTTCTATAAATGAGGTTTTGAAATTTAATTCAGTTCACAAAAGTTATGGAAGGACACATTCAGTCCAGTTAGGGGTGCCTTGAGTCCAAAAAAGTCACTAGTCTAAAGGATTCTAAGTTAGTGTTTGAGAGTTCAATTTCACTCTTGTATCTAACAGTTCTGCACTAAGCTTATAAGGCCCAGACAGGATCCAGGGACATATCACTTTAACTGCACCTGTCAACCTGGTGCCCCTCTGGTCTCTTTCCTTGAGAGCCAAGTTTTAAGCTGGGGACAGAAGCTACACATAAACTGGTTTAAGTGATCAGAAACTGGTTTAAACCTGTAATAAAACATAAGTTCAGTGCACATAAAACAGTTTCAGAATGAACAAAACCAGTTTGAGATAAACCTGGTTGAATGTAGTATCAAACTTAACTGACTGAGCGCAAACTGGTTTATAGAACTTCTGTCCCAGACCCGCTCCCTGGTATAAGTCAAACCAGAGCCCCCCAGTATCCCAGCATGCTCTGCAGCCTTGGGCAGGGCTGGCCTCTTCCCTCTGCTCCCCAGCTGGAGCAGGGGTGGGCAGGGGTGGGGGTGTGGCCAGATGCCAGCTCCCACAAGGTGAAGGAGTCTGGGAAGTTTATTCCTCCCTCCCTCCCCTGTCCCACCAGCATGGACCCCAGTGGGGTCTGCCAGGCAGGGGCACAGCAGCCCCTGTTGGGCATATCTCTGCTCACTGCTCCAGCGGTGGGGGCATGGCCAGCCTGGCAGTAGCCTCCAGTGAACTGGTGAGGGAGGGTGTTTAATTCCCTCCTCCCTGTCCCACTGGCACAGACCCAAGCTAGGGTCTACCTGGTGCTCCCTCTTCACTGCTGCAGGTGCGGGGACATGCTGAAGCAGCACGGGGGCAGGGACCTTGATGTGGCAGCAGCCCCTCTCATGTTTTCTAAGGAGCGCAAGCCTCTTCCCGGTGTGGGGGCTGCACTGCAGGTGGGGGCAGGGTGGGCAGAGCTGCTGCAGGGGGCGGGGCGAGCGGCAGCACCAGGGATTGGAGGGGTGGCCAGAGCTCCCCAAGCCCCTCCTAGCACTGCTGCCATTTGCCCCACGCAGTCTGCGGCAGCTCTGCCTGCCCCACCCCTGCCGGGAAGAGACTTGTGCTCCCGGGAAACCATGACAGGGGCTGCTGCTCCCCCACGGTCCTTGCCCCCTTGCTGCTCCAGCGGCAGGAACAGGGGTGTGGCCAGAGGCCAGCCGGCATGGCCCCCTTAGGCGAGGGGACAGGGAGGGGGCTTATTCTGTTGCTTGCCCCGTGCAGGGAGCAATTGGTGGTGGCAGCAACAGTCGGGGCTGAGAATAAACCCCTCCCCCTCTGCCTCAGAGGGCCATGCCAGCCAGCCTCTGGCCATGCCACTGCCCCTGTGGCAATGATGGGGAGCACTGGTTGAACCCTAGCTCTGATCTGTGCCGGTGGGACAGGGAATGGGAATTTAAACCCTGGCCCTGGTCAGTTCATTTGAGGCTACTGCCCAGGCTGGCCATGCCCCCCAGCACAGCTTCCCTGCAGCCGAGGGCTGCTCTAATGCCCCCCCCCCCGCTTCTGGCCTGAGCCACTGCAGCATGTGCCTGCGTTTCCTGAGTTAAAAATGAATGTCTATTCACTTGCAAAGTGGTTCAATCTAGTCAGGTTAGACTGAACCATTTAGATCTTTCAGTCTGCAAAGACTGAATCAATCTAGGCTCTGGCTTTTTGAATGTCTGTCCCTAGTCTTAAAGATTTTCAGTTTTTCTCTTTCCCATACAGCCCCAACTCCATCATTATAACCGGACAGGTACATGGCCCTTATCCCTTCCCTGGTGCCCAAAGGCGCATACAGCCATTACCCTTCTTACCCTGTATTCCAGCATGGTTTTTTCTCATAGCCACAGTGCAAATCCAACAGTTCCCCTGGACTTCAGTGCTTAGGGAATCCTTTGGTCTTCCTAGTACTTCATGCATGGGCTTTTCACTAGGTAGCCTTAAAATACTGATTGGCTTTCCTGGCACATCATACTTGGCTTTTAGGAAGACTGTATGTTTACCATAAAAGTTTGCAATTAAATCTCAGCTTCAGTGAAATCTCAGCTTCAGCTTGTCAGCTTCAGGTGCAAGGGAGATAATTCTAGCATTTTGGAGTTCGATCTTACCTAATACACTTGAGTTTGTTACAGCTGCCAGAATCCTTTGCTTTCTTTGAATACACATTAAGGCACCATGTAAATGCTCAGCAGTGCTGGTTGTATTGTACTTGTTGTTAGGGGAGAAACAAGTAACTGTTTTCTAGACTTTCATTGACTGTTGGGTGTGTGCTTGTGTCTGTAGCTTTGCCATATGACCAGGATGAGTGCCTGACCAGTGGGGGACCCCCAAACTACAAGGAGTAAGTCTCAAGTCTGTCTTGTCCTTGAATTTCTTTCACTGTGATTACCATTATCTCAAACATCTCACCATTCAGGAGACTGTTGTCCAAGGGCAGTTGTATTGGGTTACTGATCTCTTTTTGATTAAATTAGTTTAGAAAGTTTCTTTACAGAATATGACTAAAATTTATGTTGGCTCTTTAAGTACCTTTTGTCATTTTCATTCTGCCAGGCTGCTATATCTCCTGAAACAGAAGTTAATAGCCCAACCTACTCACACTCTGAAACTGAAAGCTGCTTCCCACAAATCTCTTCCCTCGATCTTGTTCAGTCAGAAATACTAGATCAGCTTAATTGCTGTCCATTGCACCTTGTGCAGCAGTCAACACTTCTCAGTTTCATTTCATACATATTAAACTCCACATGTAAGTCACCTTCCAGGAAGTGACTTGGCAGTTCAGTAATGCAATATCATTAGAAAAGGGGTGCTGGTATAGTAGTATAGAGAACAGAAAATCCACATACTAGAGCAGGAATAGGTATAAAATGTCAAGTGCTCCTGGACTGGGTTTGTGTTGGCTCTAGTGAAAGCACAGATGTAGATATGAGAAGGGAGATGTATCCCTCTTTCAAAGGAAGGATCCAGATTAGAGGTAACTATAGGGCCAAGCCTTCAGAGAATAACAATGAGTATCTGTCTAGATAATAGGGAAGTTTTTGTCCAACAAGGAAGGATTCTGTTGTGAATTAATTCCTTCCTTCCTTCCTTTCTCCCTCCCTCCCTCCCTCCCTTCCAGAAAGGGTTTTATAACTACAGGGCAACTTCCTAACCAATTTTACAGTTCTTCATTAGATGAAAGTGTGTGAATATTACCTGCTCCAAGAAATACATTTGAAATAATCATATGAATGCACCTTATGGAATCCTGATATACTGCAGCTATAGCTCAGAGAATACATCCGTATGGCTGTATTTGGGTCCTGAACACACAAATTGCTTACACAGATCAATGGAATACTTTTGTGCTGAAAGTTGAGCAAATACCCAAGCATTTTTCTGAATTAGGAACTTACTTTTGAGACCTATGTGTTTAAAGGTGCAAGGCTAAACATTTACCTGGCCATTTTAACAACACCCTAAAAATCTAAAGGCCCATTTTTTTTAGCAGGCACAAAGCAAGAAACTACAAAGACAAGCTCAAGACTGCACAAATGGGCATTTACAAGCAAAAGGAATAACTATGCAAAATAGCTGAATTTTGCCTTGCATTGCCTTCCCTTATGTTTAGACATTATTTTGCCTTTACACTAAGTTATTGTATATGTTTTTCTCCCTCACATGAGTAAAACCTGGTTTCTATTTCTAGCCACCTTCATCAGAAAACCACGTGGCCCCCTCCTC